GTAGGCAAGGATTTTCTTAACAGAATGCCAGTAGTGCAGGCATTAAGATCAACAACTGACAAATGGGACCTCCTGAAATTAAAAGCTTCTGTACAGCAATGGACACTATCATTAGAGTGAAGAGCCAGTCTATGGAATGAGAAAAATTCTTTACAAGCTCTACATCTCATAGAGGGCTAGTGTCTAGAATATACAAAGAGCTCAAAAAAACTAAGCACCAATAAAACAAACTCAATTTAAAATTTTGGCATGTAACTAAATGAAGTTCTCAAATGACAAAATAAAAGTAGATTGGAAACATTCAAAAAATCCATTCCATATCTTTAGTCATACAGAAATACAAATTAATACTACTTTGTGGTTTTATCTTACCCAAGTTTGAATAGGTAAGAGTTACAAAAAAAAGTTGGACAACAAATGCTGGTATGGACATGGGGAAAGAAAATCACTTAATCACTATTGGTGGAAGTATAAACCGGTACAATCAGTATGTAAATTAATTGTGGAGGTTCTTTAAAATAGATTTATCATATGATCCAATTATAACTCTCCTGAGCACATACTCAAAGGACCCTATAACTTATTACAGAGGCACTTGTTTATCCATGTTCATTGCTGCTCTATTCATAAGAGTCAGGGACGGGAAATATCCTAGATGTTCATCAACTGATGAATGGCTAATGATAATGTGGTACACTTACACAATGGTATATTGTTCAAATGTTATGAAAAATGAACCTATGAAATTCACTAGTAAATGGATGGAACTAGAAATAACCATTAGTGAGGTAACCCAGACTTGACAAATATTTTACATTTTTGCTTATATGCAAACTCTAGCTTTGAATCTTCAGATATGTGTATTTAACTTGGAGTACCCATAGAACTCAAGAAAAGAAAACAGTAAGGGGCCATAAGAGTGCTTTTAAGAGAAGGAAAAAAGAACACAGGTGATATAACATGGAACAATGGAGCAAGAAGGTTAAGTGGGCTAGGTGTTGGAGTGCAGAGTAGAGGAGGGAACTTTCAGAAAGATACTAACACTAAAGACTTTTGAAAAAGTCAAAATGGAAACCTACTATTGTACAAGCTTCCTAAAACATATATAAATATAAAAAGTTCAAATGGGGCCTCTCACAGACACTATAGGCTATTAAATAAAAACTCAGTGTCAAGAAAAGGTTACTTCTTTTGAAATAGTTGATCAGTGGGGCTTCATAGACCAGTAAATGTTATAACCGGAACTATTACCATTGTTCTTGGTTACCCCTACCCCAAGATCTCAATGATAAGATCCTAGTTGCTAAAGATACCACATAGAGCATAGAGAAATCAATCTGTTCTGATCCATAAGCTAATGGATAGCTTTCATCATGCAGAATGGTGCTATGCTATGCACACTATTAGGGGAGAAATGTGATCACTAGCCTTACCCAGCTATGAACCCAGAAAACTATTATAATTATACTCTGTGAAGATATATTTACTGTTATAATAGTGTTATGAATGTCATAGGAATAACCAATCACTTTCTGATTGTATTATTGTATTTAAGGCCTTCTTCAGAAGATCGAACTCATGCTTCACATGTTAATAAGGCCAAAGACCTGAGTATAGGTAGGTTCTAGGGGAGAACTTAATACTATTATTATGCTACATGTACATAGTATTAAACTGATTTGTAAAGATTTATGCACATAGATAAGTGTATCTCTTATCTCTCCTCAGAGATGCTTTTTCTGCAGTAGCTAGAGATTAGCTGAGACCTATAACTGAGCAAGCTGAGCAAGGTGTAAAGACAGAGAGACTAGAGAGTGTTCAACCCTAAAGGGGAATCTATACCATACTGTGTGACCCCAGGGCTAGGGATCATTTCAGAAGAGGGGGCAGAAAGATTATGAGAGCCAGGGGCAGTGGATAACTACAACAAAACAGTATTTTCTAGAAACAATTTGGCAAGTGCATATATAAACTAACACCTGTGAGTTCATATACAAGATCAAACCAGACAAAAGTTCCAGCATGGATATGAAAGGGGCTTAAGACATCTCGCTCCTAGCCAAGGAACTACTGACAATTGATTACTGCTGAGAGAGGGAAAGTCAGTTTTCTTCAGGGATGTAGCCCCTTAAGAGTTTATGTTCCAGTAAATAGTCCTATATGTATGCACATAATAGCAGAACTATGTGGATTCTTGTGGATCTAAATAATAATAATAATGATAACAACAACAACAACAACAGAGGGAGTGAATCCAAAGGAAATAGTGGTATAAGTGTAGAGGAGAAGTTGGAGGTGAAGGAATGAGTTGAGGCTTGATTAAAATGTATTACATACATGTATGTAATTCTTAACCAAGAAAAATACCTTATTTCCCGTAACAAATCACTTAATTCATGCTCTACCAAATGGTAAGCTTCTAATACAAAATACATGGACAACTCTTTTTCATCATACATAGCAAAGGACACTATTCTAAAATCCATGTTGATTCTTGGCCATCATCTATGCTTCTTATGACAACTTAGTATATCTTTCCATTCTTACCACCAAAGCTGTAAACTTTTAAAAGATTATTTGTTCTTAGGAACAAAATTCTTCAGAACTATTCCTCATGACAATACTGTTGTTTTCTCACATTTGCTTATACATTCACTGGAGAAAGCAGAAAAGCTTTTCTATTTCTCATTTTCTTATTATAAGCAATGTAAAGCAGTTTTTTGAACTAAGGGAAAAATGACAAAAGTATACTTCTGAAATGAATGCAGTGCTCAGTAACCAACCTAATTGTCAAACATGGATGAATTTAACTTCCTGTCCTCAAAACCATCATACAAAGAGCATACATAGGTGGTGACTCTCTTTTTCAATTCTTGTGTGTGTGTGGATGCCATTTACCTTTAGAGGCTCGCCCCGTCTTTCTGGGAACCTTTGATGAGGCAGGTAGAGGTCGCTGAGAAAATCGTTTGAGGCTTCTCCTTTCCTTAAGTTCCTCACTTACTGCTTTAAAAAAAAGGGTACATATTATAATTACTATAGTCAGGTATTTTTGTATTATTTGTATGAAGTATTTCTGTTTCAAAGTAATTTGCATACTATGACTTCACCAAGAGTGTCAGTTATTTGACTATTATTAACAGGTTCACTATTTCCTATTAGGTATTTCTACTGAAATAATATATTAAAAAGTTAGACTGGAGAGATGGCTCAGCAGCTAAAAGCCCCTACTGCTTTATCAAACCATTGGAAACCAGATCTCAGTACCCACATTTGGCAGCTTACAAATACCTCGAAGCTCCAATATATCTGATGCCTCCTTCTGGGTTTTGTGGGCACTTTCACACACATACATACAAAAAATAAAATCTTGTGTTTGTGTGTGTGTATTCAATAATTTAGAAGTACCTAGATAAGGATATGCCTAAATTATATCTATCCTATTGTCACACACATACCATGCAAGCACTCTGTCACTGAGCTATATCCCCTATTTACTTTCTATTTTGATTCAGAATCTCAGTAAGCTGTCCAAGCTACAAGCTAGACATGAACTCAACACTGTATCTCAAATACACCGAAGATTGCCTCAACCTCCCCAGTAGTTGAGATTACAGGTCTATGTCAACAGACGTGGCTATACATATTTCCTCCCAATTCAGAAAGTAAACATTTTTCAGAGAGGCAACCTGGGAACCAGGGAGGATCAGTACCTTGTTCATAAAGTATAATTTTAATTAAGGGCAGGCCTTAGATTAAAATTTAGGTCTACCAGACTTCACGTCCTTTTAGTATACAGGTTGCAGAGTCAAGCATTGAAACCAAATTTGATAAATTGCAAACCCTTATGACTATTGTACTTTCATACAAGGACTTCTTGTATTATAACTTTATTCCAAAGGGATTCACTGGGCAGTTATGCCAGCAGGGAGAAACCAGATAGGGGACTCCAATTAGGAGATCACTTTACTAAACCAGAAAAGGGATTCTGCATTGAATGAGGGTAGTGACAAGGAAATGGAAAAGGAAGGACTAGACTGGAAGATTTCACTGAAACAGAGGCAATAAGGTTTATGAGGGGAAAAATGAGAATAATCAGAAGGACTAGAAAATGAGTAACTGAGTAATTGAAGATGACACCCCAGTTTTCTCCGTACTGGAATACTGGAATACAGTGGACTTACAAAGATTAAGTCTGTCATGGTATTCTATAGTTCCAGAATTGACAGCATTTGTCTAGAAAACAATGCAGCTTTAATACCTGGAGCTTTTGCTACTCTTAAGACATAAGCAAACCAGAACATAGTCATAGGAAAGAGCAACAAAACTTTCTTCCGGAAAAAAATGGCCAAAAAACTCAAACAAGCTTTTCACTGTTGAGATCATAAACAAGAATATCACCCATGATTCTATAGGACAATATTGCATTTTTCTTTTTATTCAGCCATTAGTCTGTGAGTTCATGAAAGGCAGGTAACTATAGCTAATTTTGAGAAAAGCATTCTTTATAATCTATGAGCTCAATGGTCTTTGCTACTTTCTTTAGATTTAGGTAAATGACATAAAAGCCATTCCTCAACCTAACAGAAAACGTCTTATATCAACTAGTCCCACAGAAGCAAAACATAACATGTTAGCTTTGATTCTCAAGTTCACTAGGAATACAGAAAGAAATTAGTTTCTTACTTTAAGTGAAGTAAGTATAATTATATACCTCATCTTCTTCATTAGTTCAATGTAGCTAAATGTTTGAGGATGACAGAAAGATAAACTCTGAAATACCCAGATTCCCAATATAAAATGCAAAATAAAAGCATATTAGGGGTCAGCAGATAAAGACATTTGCTACACAAACCTGTTGAAATGAGTTCAATCCCTGGAATCTCTGCAAAGATGGAAGGAGAGAACTGACTCTATAAACTTATTCTCTGCCTCCATGTGTACTGTTCCTGATCCCTCCCCACACAATATCTTAAATATATAATACAAAAAACTTTTCGTACCTGGTTTGTTTTGATCAAGGTCTGCAGTAGGGGTATGAATACGAGCCTTAGGTTTGAACGGCTGGCTACTCAAAAACTTATCACACTGAAGGCTGTGGCAGAAATTTTCAAGAAAGCGAAGTGCAAATGATGCACTATTCACTGGAGGGAGCTGAACAGTATGAACTTTCCCATCAAAGAAGGCTATAAAGTGGGGAGGTAATGTCAGTCATCAGTCATCTCATAATCCCATAGACAGATGAGAAATACAATAACAAAAGAATCAACTCAAGAAATGTACTTTTAAAGTTTACTTTCTGGGTTTTGGGATTTAAAAGGGAATTGATAAAAAAAAATCCCATTTCAATATTCATAAACGGGAACAGAAATGGTTTGCTTAACAGTAACCCTATTCTAAAATATCCCATGAGTAATATGCTGATATAATCATGATAGACACTGGCTACAACTTACTTCTCTCCTACTCTATTTTTTTAAAATGTTTTTTTTTTGTTTGTTTGTTTTTTGTTTTGTTTTGGTGCTGGGGAATAAATTCAGGGCCTTGTACATGCAGGGAAATGATACTATCCCCGAGTTATAATCCTTAGCCTTTTCAATTTATCATAAGATTTTCTTCGAAGACATGCCATTCTTTAATGCTTCTTAGATATTGTCTATAAAAATTAAAGTTTTTTTTTAAATATCTAGCTTAACAAAGCATGTACAAGGAAAAATGATTGTATATTTTGGTTGTTGTTTGTGTGACATGGGGTCTTACTATATAGCCTTAGAGGACTATGGTACTTTACATATAGCCCATTGTTCCCTTGAACTGATCCTTCTGTTTGAGACTCCTTAGTATAAGAAGAATAGAAGAATAGGTATGTGCCACAATACTTGGCTCTCATCTGTCTGCTTTGATAAAAGTAAGTTTTCCAAATAAGAGTTAAAATTTTGAACGCATATAACCATTATGCTTATTCTATTATGTCAGTATAATATTACAGTATAAATATAAGTAATACATATAATAGTCTGCCTTTCTAAACCTCAAATCAAATTTAGAACAGAATTTGAATAAAGAATTAGATTAGTATACCAGTTATTATTTCTCCTCCTCGATTATCTGGCTTAAGAAATAAAAACACAGTCTTGGTATCAATGGCACAATCAACACAGGCCTGCACAGTCCGCTGGAGAATCACATTCACAGGGCCTGGGCCAAAGTGGTCAGGCAGCTGCAGAACTTTCTGTGGATCCAGGTAGGGGCCACAATCTCCATGTTTATTTATATAGACACAGACTTGAGAAAAATACATATAAACAATGGAATTAATTAAAATAAATATTGTGAAAATATTACATAATTGCCATATTCTACTAGTGACTACATTTAAAAGAAACTTAAATAAGTTAACATCAATGACCATGTTTGCTACTGAAAACATGGAAGTATATATATTATCATATTTATGTAAAGATTTTGGACGTGGAATTAGTAAAAAAAAAAAAAGGAGCTTATGCAGTATTCTAGAATTCTACCCACACTGATTATATAAAATAATATGGTTGAGAAGACATATAGAGGCATCATAAAATCATTTTAATTATTATTGCAAGAAAGGGCACAAAAAGTAAAGACTAGTGTCCTGTTTTTATTTATATTTTTATCTTTTTCTCTCCAACTCCTCCTAGACCTTTCCCGGTTCTCTACCTACCCAAATTCATTGTACATATAGTATATGAATTTCCTTTAAAAAATTGGTCATCCTTACTCATTTATAACTAAATTTCTTGTAAATCACCAATAGTGTTGTTCAATTGAACTTTTAAAGTAATCAAATGATTTAAGCTATAGTTAATAATAAGTTCTAATGACATAAAGTTTAAATATAAAATTTTCCTTCTCTATATGCCTAGGCTCAGTGATGAAATTTTTAAACTATTTTCTTTGTACAATAAAAGCATACATAATAGAAGTTTCTCATCTATAATCATGGTGGTAAGTGTAGACAATTTTAATCAACAAATGCAAATCAATGTATACTATAACAACATGCATGCAGGTTTATCATTATTGAAGCTATTTCTTTCTTAAATCAAGGGCATTTAAAACTGTTAATTTGTACTGAAAAATTATACACACACACACACATATATATATATATATATATATATGTATATATTTAGTATACTAAAAACCTATTCACTGGGTGGAAATATATTTCAAATTGTCCTAATAGTCTGAGGAAGGGTAAACATGAAACAGTGATTAAAACCTTTAGCCCAAGGTGATAATGGCACAGATATGTTCAGGAAATAAAGCAAAAGAAAGATTTCAATGTTTTATATTTCTACTACATTGTTGAGCATCTCTTAGATGAAATCATTGGTACCAGAATATTTAGTTCAAACATAATGAGGTAACTTGGGGATGGGATGTAAGTCTGAGCATAAAATTCATATATACTTCATAGACACTTTATATACAAAGCCTGAAGGTAGTTTGATATAATAATTTGGGGGCATTTATATTTTGATTGCAACCCATCATATGAAGTCAGGTAATTATTACTTCTGGTGTCATGTCAAGGTTCAGAGTTTACATTCTTGGATCAGATATGACCAACTTTATATTCATTTAGCTACTGGATTAAAAATCATAAATAATAAGAAATGAAGTATGCTAAATGAATCTTTGAAAAACAAGTGGTACTTCAAAAATTAATTTCCTTTACATGAGAAAATATGATAAGGAAAAGTTCAAGAAATTTAAGAGCATAAAGAAGATAATTAAGGATATAAAAGAATAGGACACATTATTTAAAACACAAAAGGAGTGCTGGAGAGATAGCTCAACAGCACAGGTGGCTCTTTCCAGACAGTCTCAGTTTGCTTGCCAGCACTCACATGACAGCTTACAACTGTCAGTATCTCTAGTCCCAGAGTATCTGACATTCACTTCTGGGCATGAGGCAGATACATGGTGCACAAATACTCACACAGGCAAAAGCACTCATGCATACAAAGTAAAAACTAAAAAAAAAAAAAAAAAACTACAGAAGGATTACGGAAAGGTATACGGGATGATAAAAAGTATTAGCTATGGTATGTGCTCTTTCAAACCTACCAGACAAGAATTTAAAGTCACCATGTCCTTATTCAGACAATTATTTTCAAAAGGCATGAGTTACCTTGGAAAACACATATTATATGAAGTGACAAAATACTCTCAAAATAAAGTATAAGTATTTAATAATGACACAAATTCAAAAGGTTGTATATTTATTTTTAGGTGACATGGATTTAAATAGACTGGTTTTGTTTAACATTAAGCCAAACTATCAGCTTAACAAAATACAATAATAGTTTACTCATTTCCAGTACTTCAACAACACTGAAATCAATGCTGAATACATGTTTAGTGCTGTTTTGAAAATACTAACTTACCTGTAGACATTACTATTTTAGATGGCCCCACAGAAGACTTATTAGATGAAGAGCTTCTCATCAGTGAACTGAGAGAAGCTGAAGATGTAGAAGACACAACTGGAATACATTTTTCCTGTTTATTTTTAAAAAAAGGGGGGGGGGTAAATAATGCAGGAATATATTCTTTTAACAGGTTCTAGATTAGAAAAAATGGTAGATATCACTGAATCACAAAATCATCATTTAAGAAAAAAGGTTGAAAACCTTCTGGATACCAAGTACTGCAGTGCTATGGAAACTGAACTCTCTTTTCTAATAAGAAAAAATAATGTCAGCAGGGCAGAGGGCTTTAGAAAGCAGCTGTTAATTCCCATTGTGTCTAGCCACCAATGATCTCCACATAATTATAAATAATTTGATGAAGACTGCTTGTTGCAATAAGAGACAAATTTCCCTTCTATTACTAGTATTCTGTTTATGTAAAATATACCTCTTCAAAATTATATAAAAAACACAGGAATCAAACATTCTGAGCAGCTGAAAATATGTGTTACCAAATGTATTTTCACATTAAATTTCAAGATCAAATTTTCTTAATTTTATTTCTCACTTAAAATCCTAGAAAAATCTTTTTGGTTTATCTTAATATATTTACAGATATTTCATACTGATTTTTATAAATTTTAAATGTTTTAAATAGAAGTAATAGTGTAAGTATTTTAAAAACAAGATGGCATTATTTTCTTTTATATGGCAAGCATTCATAGAAACAAATGTTATGCTGAATAAACCATTTTATTATACATTTTGTTTCCTTTATTCATTTTTGTTATGGTGGTTCCACATATCCTATCTTTTTTGTTTGTTTGTCTGTTTCCAAGACAGAGTTTTTCTATGTAGCTTTGAAGTCTGTCCTGAACTAACTTTGTAGACTAGGCTGGCTTCAAACTCACAAATATTCGCTTGCCTCTCCTTCCCAAGTGCTGAAGTGCTGGAATTAAAGGTGTGCACCAACACCACCTGGCTATGTATCCTATTTTTTTGAGGGATTATTTGAATACTTAAAATACTATTTTAATTTCTACCTTGGAATTTCAGGTACACATAGTTCTTTACATTTTTTACATCATGACTAGAGGATTATCTATAATTTTGTATAATTTTCAAATAAAATTCATAATGTACCATTTCATAAATATGTTGAATCTAAACTTATATAGATCCTTATCATCCACATTCACAATGTAAATCCTTTGTGTATTTACATCTGTCTATGATATAAACTGTACTGGACTAGAAATGACTGTATGAAATTTTTTCCTCAGTATTTTCTTGCCCCAATCTATCCCTGCCTCTCTTCCTCCTGACTAATACACACGTGAAGGAAATCTGAACTTACTGTCTTACTCAGTATTTTAAATTCTGTATCAGTTTTTCATACTGGACAGTTCTTATTATATTCTTCAATTCATTTGCTCTGTTCTTTCTCCACCAGTAAATAGTAGTTAATTCTGTCCAATCACTACTTTTAGATATTACTTCTGCTACACCCCCAACTTCAGTTCTCCTTTCTGCCCTGTTTGATTTCCTGCCATGACTGCTTCTGATAATGAACTGTGATAGAGAAGCGTAAGTTCCTCATAAGTTCCATTTGTTTCATCACAATAGAAAACCCAACTATGACAAAAAGAGCCTTATACATTTAAAAGTCCTAAAAACTTGAGTGTAGCCTTAGTAAATTGCTAACCTGCATGTTAAAAATAATGATCCAATAGAGACTTTAGAAGACAAATTAGGAAAAGATATGACTAACCTTTTTTCCACCTTTATTCTTTCCACCTTTATTCTTTGGTAAGACAATTTTAATAGTAATGCCTTTCTTAGTAGTGGAAGTATCTCCAGTGGGCTTAATTTGTCCTGATTTCTTGCTGGTCTTTGGCACTGGTGGTACAACAGTTGTTTTCCGTGGAGACTTCTTTGAAGATTGAGCCCCTTTGGAGGTAGAAGACTTAGTTTTCTCAGAGGTGGAAGATTTTGTCTGTTCAGCAGAGGAAGGTGGTGTGTTCTCTGTACTTTTCATTGAAAGAGCTGAGAAAAGAGCTTAGCAACAAAAATTAAAGAAAATGATATAGTAAAAACACTATCATATGAGTGAAAATGTTTATGCTTATCTTCAAAACATCCCAAAGGTTACTTATGAAAATTATTTTAAACAAGATCCAAATTAATAAAACTAGAGATGAAAAAGACAATAAATACAACAGATATTAATAAGAGACTCATAAAGGAATACTTTTTAAAAAACTGTATTCTATTGAACTAGAAAATATAAATTTCTTAAAATATACAATCTATCAAAGTTAAATAAAGATAAAGTAAATGTGATTTATATAGATTCATAACCCCTAGTAAGACAGAAACAGTAACAAAAAATTCTCCCAATTATAAAAAGGCCAGGGACAGATGTTTCTACCAGAAATCCAAAAAAAGAATCAATGACAACAGTCTTCATATTATTCTACAAAAGAAAATCTGAAGAAAATTCCTAAATTCTTCTTACAAGGCCATTATCATCCTGATACAAAAACCACACAAAGACCCAACAAAAAAGAAAATAGACCAAGATCCATTATAATATAGATAAAAAACTCAATAAAATATTACGAACAAAATTCAAGAATGCATCAAAAAGATTATCCACCATCAAGTCAGCTTCATCCCAGAGAGGCAGGGATTATTGAACATATACAAATCAAAAACATAATCTACAACATAAATAGACCAAAGGACAGAAACCACATCTCATAAGGATAGAGAAAAGGCCTTTGCTGATAAAAGTCCTGAAGAGATCAGAAATATGTGGGACATACCTCAACAATGTAAAGGAAACTTATAATAATCTCACACACCAATATTCCTTCTAACTGGGGAAAATTTAAAAAACTAAAACAAAAAACAAAAACATTTCCACTCAAATTGGACTCTTTCCATACCTGTTCAATACAGTGTCTAATTCTTGGCTAGATCACTAAGCAATGGAAAGAGATCATGGAGCTACACACAGGCCAGAAATAAAATAAAGTATCCGCATTTGGAGATGACATGATTTTTATATACAAAAGTCTTCAAAAACTACACCAGGAAACCTGGGGGGTGGGGGAGGCAGGATCTTCCAAGAATCAAGAAATAGAATATGGTGTTATAAAATGGGAAATCAGAACAAGAGAATTAAAGGAGATAAAGGTATGGGAGGGAAGGGTAGAGAGGAGGGAACATGGGGAAGGAAAATAAATTTTAAAAACACTTTCAAAAATGTTAAATGGAAACCTACTACAATTAAGGCTTTCTGAAATATAAGTAATTATAAAACATGTTCAAGTGAAGTGACCTTATAATGGAAGGGCAACATACCAACTCTACAGCACAAGCTACCAAAACCCAACCCAGTACGAGGAATGGGTTACCACTTTTTGAGGTGTTGTCAAAACTGGTCCCACAGATCCCACAGCTAACACTAAAGGGCATTGCCAATGCTACTTGTTGCCCTCTACAACTTGAGGGTTAAGAATCTCAAGGTAGTTTTAATTTGTTGAACATACCACAAAATATGCCAAGGAACATAGAAAAACACAGCTGGTATGCAAATGGAAGCTTCACTTCTACTGGCTATGGTTCATAGTGTGAAAAATATATTATGCATGTTGCCAGAGAAAAAAAGCAATAATCAATCTCAACAAGCTATAAACCAAGAAGGCTACAACAACTGTCTGATTGTATGTAAGACATACCCACTGCCACAATAGTAGCAAATTATTTTTGGAATAACCAACCAGTTTTTGTTGGATTTAAGGCCCTCCATGAGATGGAATCCAAAACTGATACTGGTAATAAGGCAAAACAAACAAAACCTCTGACAACATAGGCCAAATGTACTAGGAAAATTCTTATTAGTATAATTCTGATCAGTGGTCATAATTATAAAGTTACTTCTAAATGAATGACATACTGTTATTGATTACTAATGATAACTAATCATTGATTAGTGATGCACTCAATCATCTTCAGAGAAGCTTCTTGCTTCTACAAATGGACCACCTGCAGAGAATGAGAGACTGGAGTGCTCAACCCTCAATGAGATAACTTTATCATTCCCACTCCCTCAATGATGAGTTCTCTATGTGGAAAAGCAGGCAGAAAGATTCTAACCAGTGGGGTAAAATGACTTTGATGAGAGAGTATTTTCCAGAAACAACAAAGAAGACACACATCCAAACTCAGAAAGAACAGGATAAAATGCACAGGTCATAAACAAGCTTAAGCCAGAAAAAAAATTCCAGCATGGATTAGGCAAAGTAGATAGATATAAAGTAGCAGCCCTTAGCTAAGAATCTATATTCAAAATTGATAGGTGCTGTAAAAGAAAAACCAGTTTTCTTCAATAGACTGACATAAGCTAATCTAGAGCAATCTTACATGAACACAATATTGACAACTATTTTTTGTAAGTTGTGCTTCTTTTGTTAAGAAAGAGAAGGTACATAGAAGGTACATAATATCCTATACAAAGCGAGGAAAGACACTGGAAGAACTGTGGGAGAGGACACAATAACATCAAAATATAAGGTACAAATTTTGTAACAATAAAAACAATCATTAAAGAATAAAATATTGTTTAAATAAGAATACCATTAAAAATTAAATTTTAGGTACATTAAAATTTCATAACCAGGAAACAATTTAATTCTCTAAAAAGATGAATTTATTATAATTACCAACAAAATTGAGCACAGTGAAAATTATATCACTTTATCAATATGCTACTTCTTGTATTAGATTTCTTCAAACAAAAAACTGTCTTTCCGAAAAAAATATGCTATTATTTAATATTGAGAAAAATCTTGTAAAGCAATACAGAAAAATAAGGCAAAGGAATCACCTGGAATTGCTTCTTCATCTTCTAAAAGTTTGGCTTGCTCTTTCCAAAACTTGCTGACTCTTTTGCGCTTACGTTTTTGCTCAGCTTTGTTGAGGTATGAAATGAAAACCAAAAATTAAGCACATTTAAAGCTGGAACACATTATGTTCCAGTATGCACATTAAATAATAAAACTTCTAATACAGCATAGTCATTTATCTTATCATAGAGAAAATTTCTATGAATTTATCACTATGGTACTTATACTTATATCCTTAAAAGTGAAAAACATGCCAACATACCGTGCTCAGATTAATTCATGGGAGAGGGATTGGCCATTATACAACCTATTTTGCCAGAATTTGTAGACTCCTCATGGGAGCCCTTACCGGTATGGAGGAGTGGACTGGGGTGGGCTGGGAGGGAGGCAAACGAGGGAGGGAGGGCGGGTGGGAAGGAAAACTGTGGTTGTAATGTAAAATGAAATGTAAAAGATAAATGAATTATAAAAGAGTAAGAAACAGTACTGTCTTCTAAAATCACTGCACCATTATTCAATATACAGCAAAGCAAAAGTCTTGTGAATCAATAAGGATTTAAACAAAACAAAGCAATCACCTTGGGCTTCTTCTTCATCTTCAAAAAGTCTGCCTTGGTGTTTCCAAGGTTTGGTGACTGTCTTACCCTTGCGTTTTTTCTCAGCTTTATTAAGGTATGAAATGAAAAGCAAAGATTATGGACATTTAAAGCTGCAACATATAATGTTCCAGTATGCATGCTAAATAATAAAGATTCTAATGCAGCATAGTCATGAAAAGGTTACCATCATACTCACATGAATTTTAACAATGCACAATGCACAAAAACTCTAAGGATACAGCAGTGGCATGCACACCTTGGCAGTAACTACATAACTCTTTATCTGGATTCAAGATCCATTCAACACAATGGAAACCATGGCTAGTACTGAATTCGCAACTAAAAATTCTATGCTAGAAAATTGATAGTTATTGGAGGACAATCTGCAACAATAATGAATTTTAACTAAACCAAGCACAGGCCATGAACAACTAACTACTTATAAACATTTGTCTTCATAACCACAGATAATCGTAGTCTTCAATCTTCATCAAGAAAACATTGGATTGCCACAGAGACTATTACAATAAACCCAAACCAATCAAATCAAAGAGTTTTGGAGCCTAGTCAGAAAACATCTACAGACCACTCTTGCACATAAGACTAGGCCCAGGAACACTGTCCAAGAGGAGGTGGAAAGATTGTAAAGAACAAGAAGGTGAGGGAATGTGCTCCAAAACTGTCTCCTAGTAATATCAAGAGAAAAACAAATAATCTCATGAACATCACTACCCAAACATGAGCCAAACAAGAATGACATGAATACATAAATAAACTGGACAAAGAAAAACCCACAAAGACTAAACCCTACACAAAAGAAGTATAGAAAAGTAAAGAAAGGGGGAACAGGAGAACAGAGAATCCCCAGGGAAAGGCATATCAATTCAATATCTGCTGTGAAAAACACAACAATGAAGATTTACATACAGTTACTATTATAGAGACAGAGCAAGTTATACTCAGTGTCATATGTGTACATAGATATTCCTAAATGCAAACATTAACAATTACTGAGAAAAGAGGCTATGCATATGGCAGAGGGATGGAGGCATAGATGGGAGGTTTGGTGGAAGGCAAGGATAAGGAGAAAGTTTGAAATTTAATTATTATCTCAAAATTAGACTAATGAAATATGAAAAAAACTGAGGAAAAATCTAATTTCTCCAAAAGAATGAATTTATTACAATATGAGATAAATTTGACTTACCATACTGAAAATTTCTATCAAATTTTCATTATGCTATTTCTTACACTTGTTTCTTGAAAGGAGAAAAACAAGTTTTTTCTTCTAAAAACACTACACCATTATTCGATTTATGGCAAACATGAGAAAAATTATAGATTTTAAAAACCACCATCAAAAAACAATTAATCAAACAAACAACAACAAAAACCAAAGCAATCACCTGGGCCTGCTTCTTCATCTTCAAAAAGCCCGGAGAGGCATTTCCATGGTTTGGCGACTGTTTTGCCCTTGCGTTTTTTCTCAGCTTTATTGAGATATGGAATAAAAAACAAAGATTATGGACACTGAAAGCTAGGACAAACTATGTTTAATCTTCTATGCTTCACAAAAATAATAAAGTCTTGAATACCAATGCATATGCTCTATAGCCTTATCATGAAAGCTACCATCATGCTCTAGTGATGCATAACAATGTCCATCATAGCATGATAACTCTCAGTATGCAGCAGTGTAACACACACCACCTTTGTAACCAACAATTCTTTACTTGGAATCACTCAACGAGAGGGAGATCATGCCTGGCACTGAATACCAGCTAAAAACTCTGTGCCGATGAAATGATGATTACTGGAGAAGACTCTACAGCCAATAATTTACAGCATAATCCCTAAAAACAATCTACAAACTTTGTTCTTATAGCTGAAGACAACTCCAGAGACCATTGCAAAAACCTAAATTAGAACAGAGAATGATGGAGACAAATTGGAATGCATATGCCCACAGAACACTCCTGCATATAAATAAGGCTCAGGGAACACTACCAAAGAGGGCCTGAAAGGTCATCCCAGCCAGAGAGTGAGGAATTTTCTCTAAGATTGTGCCTTCTCTTCTAGGAACATCAGGAGAAACACCTACAAAATCTCATGACCAAACATGCATGACCTGAACAAGAATGGCACCAATACATCCACAAACTGGACATTGAAGCCCATCAGGCTTCAATCCTAGTCAAAAGTTCATAGAAAACTGAGGGAAATTGGAAAAGGAGAGGTGGGAATACTCAGGGAAGAATACACAAATTCATGTCTGATGCCAAAAAGCCATCCATGAAAACAAATATAAAGGTAGTATTAAAATTACTGAACAGGTTATATCAAGGATTATGTGTGTGTTTATGTGTTTTGTGGGGATGGTTATAGATATTATTAAATACAATCACTAAAAATTAGAGGTGAAAATGATCATGAATTTTGGCTTGAAGAAGGGGATTGAAATGGAAGGTTTTAGAGGAAAGAAAAGATATGGAGAAAGGTTGAAATTAAATAATCATCTATTTTAAAAAATCAATCACTCTCTTTGAAGCCTTGAAAAGAACCTGCAATCATGAAGCAATTTAATTCTCCAAAAGGATGAACTCAATATAAAAAAGACAAATTTGATTTATCACAGTGAAAATTTCTATAAATTTGTCATTGTGATACTTTCACACTTTTTCCTTAAAAGAAAAACAGTGTTGACTTCTAAAAACATTATTACACCATTAATCAACATACTGTAAATATCATGTGAATCAATGCACACAAGAAAACAAAACAAAGCAATCACCTGGGCGTGCTTCTTCATCTTCAAAAACTCCAGCTTGATCTTTCCGTGATTTGGTTACTGTCTTTCCCTTGCGTCTTTTCTCAGCTTTATTGAGGTATGGAAGGAAAAACAAAAATTATGGACATTACATGCTAGAACAAATTATATTTAATCCCCCATGCTTCCCCCAAATAATAAGGCCTCCAATAATAATGTACATGCTCTACTATAGCCTTGTCATTAAGGCGGCTACCATCATGCTCTAGTAATACATAACAATGTCCATCATAGCATTATAACTCTAAGTGTGCAGCAGTGTAACACTGTTACCAGAGTTCTTTACTTGAACTTCAGACTCACTTAACAAGAGGGAGAACATACCTGGCACTGAAAACCACTAACTTACTAACACAGCATAGTCCAAAACACCAATCTACAAACTTTGCTCTTATATCTATCTGATGATAACTGTAGCCTTTTACTCTCCATCAAGGCAACTTTTGTTGCAGCAGCCAGAGATTACTGCAGAATTCCACAACCAATCAGAAAAGAAGGTGGTGGAGACCAATCAGAATGCTTACACCTATAGATCACTCCTGCATATAAATAAGGCTCAGGGAACACTACCAAAAAGGAGGCTGAAAGATACATCACAGCCAGAGAGTGAGGAATTTGCTATAAGACTGTGTCTCCTCTTCTAGGAATATCAGGAGAAACACCTATAAAATCTCCTAATCTCATGACCATCACTGCCCAAACATGACCTGAACAAGAATGGCACCAATACATATACAAACAGGACAGAGAAAGCCCATCAGGATTCATCCTTACTAAAGGATGATAGAAAACTGAAGGAAACTGGGGACGGGAGAGGAGGGAATACCCAGGGAAGAATACACCAATTCATGTCTGGTGCCAAAATATCAGTCATGAAAATGTATGTATAAAGGTACCACTAAAGATTGAACAGGTTATATTAAGGAGGAAGGAGGGAGGGAGAGAGAGAGAGGGAGAGAGAAAGAGAGAGTATTTAAAAAAACAATCAGTAACAATTTAAAAAGAGGCCACAAATATTGACATATACAAGTGGGTTAAAATGGGAGTTTAGGAAGAAATGAAAGTTTATGGAGAAAAGTTAAAATGAAATGATAATCTATTAAGAAATGAGATCATGCTCCGTGAAAACATGTAAAGAATCTGAAATCCAGAAGCAATTCAATTCTCCAGAAGAATGGACTAAATATAATAAGTGACAGATTTGACCTACTACAGTGAAAATTTCTATAAATCTAGCACTGTGGTGCTTACACTTATTTCCTTAAAAGTTAAAACAGTGATGTCTTCTAAAAGTAATATAACTGCTTCTTCATGACCTGAACAAGAATGGAACAAATACTTGCACAAATCGAACAGAGAAAAGCCCACGAGGTTTCAAGCCTATACAAAATGATGACATAAAACTGAAGGCAACTGGGAATAGGAGACATGGGAAGTCCAAGAGAAGAATATACCAATTGACTCTCTGTTGCCTAAAAATCCAACCATGAAAACATACATATAAAGGTACAATTATACAGACTTAACATGTTATTTTAAGGAGTATGAGTGAGAGAGAGTTCTTAAATACAATTACTAACAATTATTGGGGAAAGTGGTAGGTTTTGGATGGATAAAAGAATATGAAGGTTGAAATTAAATGATAATCTCACACATAAGGATACCAATCTCCCTGAAAACATGAAAAGAACCTGCAATCAAGAAGCAATCTAATTCTCCAAAAGGATGACCATAGTATAATGAAATACAAATTTGACATATCACAATGAAAATTTTTATGAATTTACCTAGCAGTGCTTACACTTGTTTCCTTAAGTGAAAAACAGTATTGCCTTCTGGAAATAATACATCATTAATCAATATACTAAAACATCATGTGAATCAATATACACATAAACAAAACAAAACAAAGCAATCACCTGGGCCTGCTTCTGCAACTTCAAAAAGTCCAACTTGGCCTTTCCATTGTTTGGTGACTGTTTTGCCCTTGCGTTTTTTCTCAGCTTTAATGAAGTATGAAAGAAAAAAAAAGATTATGGACATTTCAAGCTAAAACACATTTTTTTAATCCACTGTGTTTTCTCTTAAATAATAAAGCTTCCAATACTAAGACATATGCTATTATATAGCCTTGTCATAAAGAAGTCTACCATTGCACTCACATAATATGTAACAATGTCCATCACAGCATAATAACTAAGTGTGCAGGAGTGTAATACAGACCATCTTTGTTACCAGGATTCTTTACTTGGACTTAAGACTCACTCAACAAAAGGGAGAACATGCCTAGTACTGAAAATGAGCTAAAAACTTTGTGCTGGTGAAATGATGATTACTGGAGAAGAATTTAAAACCACTAACTTAATAACACAAAATAATCCCTAACATCAATCTATAAACATTCCTCTTATACCTAAAGATAACTGTAGCCTTTACTATTCATCAAGGCAATTTTTGTTTGTCACAGTCTGAGACCATTATAAAAATCCACATACACTCAAAAAAAAAAAAAAAAAAAGAATGGTGGAGACCAATCAGAATGATTACATATACTTACATATACAGACACTTACAGAGCATTCCTGTATATAAGAAAAGGCTCAGAGAACACTACCCAAGAGGGGGTGGATAGATCATCAGAGACAGCAGATGAGAAAATCTGCTTTAAGACCTTGTCTCCTAGTAATATTATGAGAAACACACAAATTCTCACAAACTGCCCTGACCTGACCAAAAAAAAAAAGTCACTGATACATACACAAAGTGGACAGAGGAAAGCTCTTCAAGTTTCATCCCTACTCAAAGACCATAGAAAACTGAAGGAAATTGGAACAGGAGAAGTGAAAACACTCATTGAGTAAAACACTCATTGAGTAATTCATGTCTGGTGCCCAAAGGCAGCCAAGAGAAGATATAGGAAGGAACAATTATATATGTGCATGTGTATGTAGATATGCTTAAACAAAATCAATAAAATTAGTGAAAAAAAAAGTGGACACAAATTTTGGCATAGAGACCAGGATTGAAATGGGAGGTTTTGGATGGATAAATAGGGTATGAAAAAAGGTGGAAATTAAATGATAATTATACATATAAGAACACAAATCTCCTTGAAAACATGAAAAGAATCTGCAATCAAGAAGAAATCTAATTCTCTAAATGGATAAACACATTATAATGAGAGAAATATTTGACTTATCACAGTGAAAATTTCTACGAATTTATCATGGTGGTACTTACTTTTGTTTCTTCAAAACTTAAAAGTGTGTTGCCTTCTAAAAACATTACACCATTATTTAGTATACTGTAAATATCATGGGAATCAACATACACAAAAAACAAAACAATACAAAGCAATCACCTGGGCCTGCTGCATCTTCAAAAAAGCCGGTTTGTTCTTTCCATGATTTGGAGACTGTTTTGCCCTTGCGTTTTTTCTCAGCTTTATTGAGGAATGAAATGAAAAACAAAGATTATGGACATGAAATGCTAGAAATAATTTTGTTTAACACCCCATGTTTCCACCAAATAATAAAGCCTCCAGTACAATGCATATGCTCTACTATAGTCTTGTCATGAAGACTACCATCATGCTCTAGTGATGCATAACAATGTCCATCATAGCATGATAACTGTCAGTGTGCAGCACTGTAACACAGATCACCCTTGTAACCAACAATTATTTACTTGGACTTAAGACTCAGTAAACAAGAGGGAGATCATGCCTGGCACTGAAAACCAGCTAAAATCTCTGTGCTGGTGAAATGATGATTACTAGAGAAAAATCTACAACCACTAACTTACTAACACAGCATAATCCCAAACATCAATCTACAAACTTTGTTCTTGTATTTGAAGGCAACTGTAGCCTTTACTCTTTATCAAGACAAATTTTGTTACAACAGCCAGAGACAATTGTAGAAATAACCAACCAATTAAGAACAGAGAGTGGTGGAGACCAATCAGAATGCATACACCTGCAGACACCTACTGAACATTCCTAGACACAAGAATCAGGGAACACTACCCAAGATGGAGTTGAAAGATTATCAGAACCAGAGGGTGAGAAATTTTCTGTAAGATAGTGTCTTCTCTTCTAGAAATATCAGGAGAAACACCTATAAAATCTCATGACCATCACTGCCCAAACATGACCGGAACACGAAAAACATGAATACATAAAACAAACAGGATAGAGAAAAGCCCATCAGGCTTTTTCCATACTCAAAGGACCATAGAAAACTGAAGGAAACTGGGGACAGGAGAGGAGCAAGCACTCAGGGAAGAATACACCAATTCGTGTCTGGTGCCAAAATATCAGTCAGGAATAAATGAATGAACACACATGCATAGGCACATTCACATGCACGCGCACACGCACACACACACACACACACACACACACACACACTATTAAACATACTGAACAGGTTATAATAAGGAGAGAGGGAGAGAGAGACAGAAAGAGAGAGGGAGAGAGAATGTATGGACATTCTTAAATACAATCACTAATTATTAGTGAGGATAAAAAGCCATGAATGTTGGCATAGAGAAGGTGGTTAAGAATGGGATATTTTAGAGGGAAGAAAAGGTATGAAGGTTGAAATTAAATAATCATCTATTAAAAAATCAGATCATTCTCCTTGATACCTTGAAAATAATCTGCAATCAAGAAGCAATCTAATTCTCCAAAAGGATGTACTCATTACAAAAAGAGACAAATTTGACTTGTCACAGTGAAAATTTCTATGAATTTATCATTGTGGAACTTACACTCGATTCCTTAAATATGAAAAAAAAATGTTGTTTCTTCAAAACATGACACAATTATTCAATATATTGTATAAATTATGTGAATCAGTATACACAAAAACAAACAGAACAGTCACCTGTGCCTGCTTCTTCATCTTCAAAAAGGCTGGCTATGTCTTTCCATGTTTTGGTGACTGTTTTTCCCTTGCGTTTTTTCTCAGCTTTATGGATCATGGAATGAAAAACCAAGACTGAGCACATTTAAAGTTAGAACACATTATGTTTAACCCCCCCCCCCATCCTCCAATACTAATACATATGCTCTACTATAGCCTCATGATAAAGAAGGCTACCATCATGTTCTAGTGATGTGTAGCAATGCCCACCGTGGTAATTCTAAGTATGCAGCAATAATCACACATACTACCTTTGAAACCAACAATTCTTTACTTGGACTTAAGACTCAGCAAGAGGGATAACATGCATGACACTGAAACACAGCCAAAAACTCCGTACTGATGAGATGAAATGATTACTGGAGAAGAATCTACTAGCTATAACTTACTAACACAGCATAAGCTCCAACAACAATCTACAAACTTTGTTCTTATATCTATCTGAAGATAACTGTAGTCTTTATTCTTCATCAAGGCTACTTTTGTTGCAACAGACAGAGGCAATTGCAGAAATACACAACTATTCAGAGAACAGAGTTTGGTGGAGACCAATCAGAATGTATACACTATTGAACACTCCTGTATTTAAGGTAATGCTCAGCACTAGCAGAGAGGAAGCTAAAAGACCATCAGAGGCAGAGAGTGAGGAATTTGCTGTAAGACTGTGTCTTCTCTTCTAGGAACATCAGGAGAAACACCTACAAAATCTCACGACCATCACTGCCCAAACATGACCTGAACAAGAATGGCATGAATACATACACAAACTGGACTGAGAAAAAGCCCTTCAGGTTTTCATCCCTATTCAAAGAACCATAGAAAACTGAAGTAAACTGGAATGTATAGATAGCCTTTTATGTTTGTTTTGGTTTTGGCTATTTTGTTTTTCGAGACAGGGTTGCTCTGTATTGCTTTGGAGCCTGTCTTGCAACTAACTGTGTATACCAGGCTGTCATTGAACTCACAAATATCCACCTCCCTTTGCCTCCAAAATGCTGGATTAAAGGCATGCACCACCAACACCCAACTATAGACATTCTTAAATAAAATCAGTAACAATTAGTGTATAAAAAAGGCCATGAACTTTGGCATAGAGAAGGGGTTGTAAATGGAAGGATTTAGAGGGAAGAAAAGGTATGAATTATGGTTTAAATTAAAGGATCATCTATTTAAAATGAGATCATTCTCCTTGAAACCATTAAATGAATCTGCAATCAAGAAGCAATCTAACTCTCCAAAAGGATGAACGCATATAAAAAGAGACAAATTTGATTTATCACAGTGAAATCGTCTATAAATCTAGCACTGTGGTACTTAGACTTGTTTCCTCAAAAGTTAATAAAACAGTGATGTCTTCTCAAAACATTACACCATTATTCAATATACTGTAAAGTCATGTGAGTCAATATACACAAGAACAAACAAAACAATCAATCACCTGGGCCTGTTTCTTCATCTTCTAAAAGGCTGACTTCCCATGGTTTGGTGACTGTTTTTCGTTTGCGTTTTTTCTCAGCTTTATTGAGGTATGGAATGAAAAATAACATTTAAGGACATTTAAAGTTAGAACACATTATGTTTAATACCCCATGTCTCCTCCAAATAATACAGACTCCAATACTAATGCATATCCTGTACTATATCCTTGTCATAAAGAAGGCTACCACCATGCTCTAATAATGTGTAAAAATGTCCCCTATAGCACAATGTATGCAGCAGTATAACACAGATCATCTTTGGTACCAGAATTCGTTACTTGGACTTAAGCCTTGCTCAATAAAAGGGAGAGCATGCCTGGTACTGAAAACAAGCTAAAAGCTATGTGCTCTTGAAATGATGATTACTGGAGAAAAATCTACAACCACTAACTTACTAACACAGCACAATCCCTAAAATAATCTACCAACTTTGTTCTTATATCTGAAGATAAGTCTTTACTCTTCTTTTGTTGCAATAGCCAGAGATGATTGCAGAAATACACAACCAACAAGAACAGAGGGTGTTGGAGACCAATCAGAATGCATATACCTACGGAACACTCCTGCATATAAATTAGTCTCAGGGAACACTACCAAAGGGGGCTGAAAGATAATCAAAGCCAGAGAGTGAGGAATTTGCTCTAAGATTGTATCTTCTCTTCTAAGAATATCAGGAGAAACACCTATAAAATCTCATGACCATCACTGCCCAAACATGGCCTGAACAAGAATGGCACCAATACATACACAAACAGGACATAGAAAGCCAATCAGGCTTCATCCTTACTCAAGGGATAATAAAATACAGAAGGAAATTGGGACAGAAGAGGAGGAAATACCCAGGGAAGAATATTCAAATTCATGTGTGGTGACAAAAAGCCAGCCATGAGAACATATATAAAGGTGGTATTAAAATTACTGAACAGGTTATATCAAGGATTATGTGTGTGTTTATGTGTTTTTGTGTGGGTGGTTATAGATATTCTTAAATACAATCACTAAAAAGTAGTGGGAAAATGGTCATGGATTTTTGCTGGGTGAAGGGGATTGAAATGGGAAGTTTTAGAGGGAAGAAAAGGTAGGAAGAAAGGTTGAAATTAAATGATTATATATTAAAAATGAGATAATTCTCCTTGAAGACATGAAAAGAATCTGCAATCAAGAAGCAATTTAATTCTCTAAAAGGATGAACTCATTATAAAGAGACAAATTTGACATATCATAATGAAAATTTCTACGAATTTATATCATTGTGGTACTTACACTTTTTTTCTAAAAAGTGAAAAACAATGTTGCTGTCTGAAAACATTGCACCAATATTCAATATACTGTAAATGTCACGTGACTCAATGTACACAGAAACAAACAGAACAAAACAATTACCTGGGCCTGCTGCATCTTCAAACACACCAGCTTGGTCTTTCCATGTTTTGGTGGCTGCTTTTCCTTTGTGAGTCTTTTCAGCTTTATTGAGGTATGAAATGAAAAACAAGGATTATGGACATTTAAACCTAGAACACATTATGTTTACTCCCCTATATTTACCAAAAATAATAAAGCCTCCAATACTAAAGCATATAGTCTACTATAGCCTTGTCATGAAGATTGCTACCATCATGTTGTAGTGATGTGAAACAATGCCCATCATAGCATGATAGCTCTATGCATGCAGCATTTGAACCTAAGACTTGATCAACAAGTGGGGAGCATATATGACACTGGAAACCCTGCTAAGAAATCTGTGTTGGTGACATGATGGATATAGAAGAACTATCTACAATCACTAACTAACTAACACTGCACAATCACTAACAACAACCTATAAACATTTTTCTTTTTTACTGGTCAAAACAACTTTATTATCAACCACTGTGAGAAATACTCAGTCACAGCATACAGAAGATTATCCCACAGCATTTTTCCCTTTCTGTGTAATGGAATAGGTAGGTTTTGAATTTAACATAGTAAAGCTACATACAAAACAGTTATCAATTAAGAATTACGGTTATAATATCTAGTCTATCTGAATTTGATAAAATTAGAGAAAATATTCAATTATCTTGGTGAGTTTGAAGTTTTATATCTAATTTATCTTTTACCGTAACTAAGAAAAACACTATGACTGTAATTATCTAGTCTTCAATAATTAAAAAATACAGATTTATTAAAATATAGTTAGTCATCTATAATAATCAAACTTATAGTCAGTTAGGTTTTCTATATATACAAATATATATTTCAGGTAGGTATTCTTCAAACATTTCAAAGATCTACAGAATTTAAATTGTTTAATAATTTAGACTTTTCATTATAGTGAGAGACCGCTCTAATACCCATTTATTCTAGAAAAGATGATGTGCATCAAAACTCTGCATATTTTCTATATGGCATAAGCTAGACACATGGGAAAAGAAACTGCCCTTGCCTCAATTTCTGACAGTTACTTCCTAAACTTGACTAGCAGGACACAAGAAAGGCAGGACACAAGAAAGGTGAAAGCCAAGCTTTGCAGAGACAATGAAGGGCAGTCCTTCAAAATTCCCTGCTTCACAGGTAAGCTAGGCCTGTAGTGAAAAGGTGGATGGATGTCTCAGCATTACAGATGAACCTTGGTGAATGTCCAGGCAACTTTGTTGACTTTCTTGCTCTTGGGTTTTTTCCTCAACTTTGTTGTGTAATGAAGAACAAAACAAAAATTATGCGCATTTAAAGCCAGAACACATTATATTTAGTATGTCTGCCAAATTATAAAGGTTCTAATCATAACATATACACTCTAATGCAGTGTTGTCTTGAAAAGGCTCAAGTGATAAATGATGGAGGATATAGGGATGAATACTTTGCATTGGTATGGATTTTCATTTATTACTACAAATGTAAGGTCAATTTTGTTATATGTATATTTCTTCTCTTTAGGTACTTGGTTTATACAGATATTTTAAAATGTAATGCATATTTAATACAGATTGTATATAGTCAGCTATAATAGTCAAAAACTTATAGGTTAGTTAGATTTTCTAAATATAGAGATATATTTCAAATGGCATTCTTCAAACCTTTCAAAACCTACAGAATATGGCATTAAAAGTGATTTAGGGTTTTTCTTGACACTGACACCTGCATCACAAAGGAAGATGAACATTGAAGAAACTTGTTATGGAGTTTACTCCCGATATGGCAAGACTATCCATTTGGGCAAGAAATTGCTCTTATCTGGACTATTTGACTTTAGGCTATATAAAATGGACATACAGGACCCACATAAAAGTGACTTGCTCAAGCAAGATGGACAGTGCTACAGAATTCCTGCTTCATGGAAGAGTCTGCAGACATTCTCCAGGACACAGAGAAAAGTGACTGACAAACTGCCAATACAAGTAGACAGTTTAAAATTCCCTGCTTTGCTGAGGAATCTTCCAGACACACTATGTCCTATGGGCCAAAGATGGAACATTTCAGAAGAACTTCAGGTCACTGAGCAGGCAGCTAGTTGTCTCTGTCAATTATAGAGTTTTTATATTACACTTCTGTGGACTTTGATGGAGTTAAAGACAGATAGTCATGGTTATGGTTTTCCTTAGTTATGATAAAAGTTACATTTAAGACTTTAGACTCACAAAGGTAAGATAAAATATTTTCTTTAAAACTTGCTAAATGTTATTATAGTTCTTGTTTAATAACTGCTTCATTATATATTTTACTATATTAAAGTTAGAACCTTTTTATTTAGACAAAAAGAAGAGATGATGGGAGATGTCATTCTGTAACTATGTTTCTCATATTGTTTAATGAATAAAGCACTGTCGGCCAATAGGGTAGCAAGATAAGGTGGGACTAGGAGAGGTGTAGAATTCTGAAGAATGAGATATGATCACTGGAGGGCAGGATGTGTGATTCTGGCATTCTCAGTGAGATAAGACCATGTAGAAATATATATATATGTATATGTACATGTATATGTATGTATATGTATATACATACATATACTATGTACATACATATACATACACACACACACACACACACACACACACACACACACACACACACACACACACACATAGCTTCCGGACATGCTCATGTGATATGCAGCTTCCAGTTACCTGGAAGCCCAATTAGACAATATTAATATTTTGAATGAGGACTAATTGCTAGAATATTTTTACTATATTCCCATCAATAAATAAATACATAAATACATACAAACCAATGAGATAGTCTGGTATCAACACCTTAAAAACTTATTAATAATGACATTTGCACAGTAAAATCTACTAATTCTATATGTTTTCTGAGACAGGGTTTCCCCATATTGCTTTGCAGCCTGTTTTAGAACTAGCTTTGTAGACCAGGCTGGCCTTAAACTCACAGTGATCCACCTGCCTCTGCCTCCCAAGTTCAGGCCAATAGGAAAGGAAGATAGGCAGGACTGGGAGACAAGGAGGATTCTGTGAAATGGAGAAGAGTCAAGATATAAGGACTTGAGAGAAAGAGGTCCAGACCCTCTCTCTGGTAAGATAAGACCACGTGGAAACACTTAAATTAACAGAAATGGGTTAATATTTAAGACATAGCTAGCCAATAAGAAACATTAGTAACAAGTCAACAGCTTTATATCTAACATAGCATCTCTGTTATTTGGAGTTGACATGGCTCTGGGACCAGGCTGATGATAAAAGTGCTCATAATAAACAACTACATTCCACTCCAGGTGTAAGACTTACAGTCTATATACCATGCCACCGAGAATATTAAGTTAGTTTTTATCTGCTGAACATACTACAAATGTGTGTCATACTTCAATGAAAAATGTATCTGATGCTCAACTACAAGCCTCAATCCTACTCACTATGTTTCATATTGATAAGCAGTGCTATAAACACTACCAAAGAAGAAAAGTAATCAAGAGAACTACAATAATCAGCTTTCTCTCAGACTTGTCTACTAGCACAATAATAGCACAAATATAAGACTAATACAGTACTTTTTGATTGGATTTAACATCCACTCCATGAGATGTAACTCACATCTGACACTTAATGAGGCCAAGAACCTATGAAAAAGTGCTACATTTCACAGGAGAAATCCTATTAACAAGGTTCTTCTAATGGACACAGCAATAAAACAATATTACTTATAACATATTGCTATACTCATTGATTAATTTATCACTCACACATCACCAGAGATTATTTAAGTGGATAGTACTTAGCAAAGAGTCCTACAACTGAACAATGTTCAGAAAATGAGAAACTATGGAGTGCCCAACCTTAAATAGGATGTCTATATAAAACCCTTGCCCTCAAAGCTCAGGTAACTATGTGGAAAAGCAGGCAGAAATTTCTAGGCAGGGGTAGAAAAAACACTTTTCCAAGAAAACATTTTTTCAGAAACAACAGATGAATATAAAGAAATCAGGAAGACTACAACAGGATGCACATATTTTGTATAAGCTCAAGCCTCAAAAATCCCAGCAAGGAGGAGCTCTGGGAAGTGATCACAATTCCCATGCCCTAGCTAAGAATTCATAACTACTAGAAAAAGGAATATCAATTTTCTTCAATGGAGTGACATTGAGTATCCACATACCAATGCAGGCCACATGGTCAGAAGTAGTCAGTTAACACAAACCAGACTCCCCATTTTGTGTGTGTTTTCTTTTTTTTTTTTTTTCAAGAGGAAAAGAAAATGAGTTTGAACAGATAAGGATATTGAACACAGTTTGAAAGGAGATTTGGGAGGGAAAATAATATGATCAAAGAAAGTTGTGTGAAAAAAAATTAAAGCATTAAACAAATAAAAACATTTTTTAAACAAAGATACAACATAAGCAAAGTTTAACATACATTATAATTTCATATAATTAAGAAATAGCCTAATGTTCCATCATCACCAAAAAGGCTTCTATGAGAACAACCATCAATTTTGAATTAGCACAGTGAAAATTCCTAGAAGCTTATCACTAGGCTGCTTTCTGCTTTTTGTTTTATTGAAATAGAAAAGAGTCTTTCCTTCTGAAACACGACACCATTATTCAATATAGAGGAATTATCTTGCAAGTCAATAGATCAATATAGAAAAACAAAGCAATTACCTGGAGCTATTCGGACATCTTTCCCTGGTCTGGCTTCATATTCCCAAGGTTTGGGGAGTCCTCTGCCCCTGGGTTTTTTCCCAGCTTTGTTGAAATATGAAATGAAAAATAAAAATGATGTACTTTTACAGCTAGAACTCATTATAATTTGTATGTATGCCAAAATAAATAAAGCTTCTTATAATAAAATATAGATTCTCTTCCTACAGCATTGCCATGAAAAGGCTACAAGCATGTTTACATGATACACAGCTTCCAGTTGCCTAGTCACTCAGTTTAGATGATTTTAATGTTATCTATGAACATAACCTCCTGGTCATTTTTGTTAAGTGCTTACAGTTAAAAAAGAAATATCAGTATAAATGCCTTCAAATTTAGGTTATTAGGAAAAATTAATTTTATCTCACAAACCACTAATTATAATTAAAAATGCTTTGTAGGTAGATACGAAACACACATACACACCGATGGGTGCAAATACTAACATTTTGAGAGTTTATAAAATATGTTTTTATTTAAATTTAAAAAATCTTATTTTCTGTTTCAATCCCAGTTCCCTCTTCCATTTCTATGTGTGTTTCATTTTATAAGAGACAGAAAGATCATGAAATTGGAGGACAGAGACATGACAAACAATATTGGAGGAGGTGGGGAAGAATATGATTAAAATTAACTACTTGAAGTTTTCAATGGTTAAATAAAAGACTTAAATGAAGAAAAAAAGAAAATATTTTCAACCAAAAGTGCAATTAAGTTTCTCATATAAAAGATTTTCATATAATCAAGAAATACTCTAATTCTCTAAAAGGAGGCTTTTCTCAGAACAACAAGAAATATTGGACTAGCACAATGAAAATTCTAGCAGTTAATCACTGAGCTACTTTCTACATTTGTTTTTTTTAACAGAAGAGTGTTTCCTTCTGAAACACACCATTATTCAATATAGAGGGATCATCCTGCAAATTAATAGATAAATATATAAAAACAAAGCAATTACCTGGGGCTGTTTGGACATCTTCCCAAGATTTGGTGAATCCTCTACCCTTGGGTTTTTTCAGAACTTTGTTGAGGTTTGAAATGAAAAATGAAAATGATGTACATTTACAGATAGAACTCATTATGACCTGTATGTATCCCAATTAATAAATCTTCATATTAACATGAAAAGGTTATAATTATGCTCATGTGATATGCACCCTGGTAGTCTAATTCAGAAAGCTTTCATATTTTGTGTGAAAATTACTTGCCAGGCTATCTTTGTATATGTTCAAAGTAAAGAAAGAAAAAGAGAGGGGAAGGAAGGAGGGAGGCAGGAAGGGAGGTAGAGAGAGAGGAAGAGAGGGAGGGAGGGAGGAAAGGAGGGAAGGAGTGGGGAAGGAGGGAGAAACACATAGAGATGACTTTGTAATTAGATAAATGAATTTTACATAGCAAAAATTTATTGAATTTAACAATTATTTGCAAATATAGATATGAAACATGCACACGCGCGCGCGCACACACACACACACATCTATGTTCAAAGCTCAATTGCTTTTATTTTTAAGGCTCTTGAGTTCAAATAGTCTACTGTTTCTCTTCTTCCTTACCCAAAGAACATGGAATATGCTTAAACAGGGCTTGTGATAGCAAATATTCCATTTTTTCTACAGCCTTTTTATGTATTTTTGTTAACTACTTAACAGAAAGTATTCTATCCTCAGTTACTAAGGAAAATATAAGATCACTTAACTGTAGCCATAACTTTACCCCCCCCATTTACAACTAATTCACTTAAATATACTTGACTTTACTCACTTATTTTTACAAACTGCCTTACAATTCATGTTGAAAACTTCCATTTTAAAAGAACTCTAGACTCACACTGCCATTATCAGGATCAGACCACTGATACTCCATCATATTGACATTAGTGCTAAAGATTCCAGTGTCCCTAAAACAGTTATTCTTGGCAATTTCTGGATCTTTTCTATACCAAAGACAACCGTGTCCCTTTGTTCATCTTCAACTCCCTTACTTGCTATCTTTAGTTTCAGACGTAAAGATTACGTTTTCCACTATCATTGCCAAGTTTAGCCAAAGTTCCTTTATTTTCATTCAAGTCATCCAAGCTCCTTCTGGGTTTGCCCTATTTCTGATGCAACTTGTACTCAACTGTCTACCTTCAATACTTCTAAATGAAATAACCATTCCTTCAACACTGCTCAGCTCTCACTTCCAAGCTATTTGTCTTCAACTTTTAGCAAAATTAACAGAATAGAGGTTAGCAGCTTATTCTGTAAAAAACTAGACATTTGTAAATATTAAATAGTCTGAAAGCTATATATAGTCTCTGTCACAAACTTATTTGTGTGCTTATTGTTAAAAATAAAACCAATGACTATAAAAACTAGTATTATATTAAAACTACATGGGCTGGATAAAGCTCTCTGAAAAGTTCACACTCATCTCCAAGGAGGAATCACTCTTGTAATTGATTTTTAAGTATATTCTCATTCTGTAGTGTTTTCTTCTGCTTAAGTTACTATAGTTCTATGTTTCAGCAAAAGACTTACCCCTTCAATTTATATGAAGACTAACATATTTTTTGTGAATGAACTTAACTATTCCTGGTGGTTGAAGGGGATGGTTCAGTAGTTAAGAGCACAAGTTGCTGCCTTTACAAAGGACCATAGTTTATTTCTAACACTTGTACCAAGTGGTTAACAACTGCCTGTAACTACAGTTCCAGAGGATCCAATATCCAGTTTAGTCCTCTGAAGATACTTGCATGTAAATGTACAAACATACATGCAGACACACATTCAGATGATTCGAAGAAATACTGTTTTTGTTTTTTAAGTTCCTAACTCCTATACAATGAAATCCAAAGACATTGAAGTGGTAGAAATTTAGGATAAATAATTCAAAAGTCTAGTTTTAAGGATGACTAATGACTCCTTGGATTTGATTGAAGAGATAAAAATTCAAGCAGTCAGTTCAGTAATGAGTAACTTAGCATTTTGCATAGAAAACAAAACATAGTGATTCTGAATATTTAGGCAAAAAAACTCATTAAATCAAACTCAATAGACCACTGGCCCCAGGTAGGGAGGAGGAGAAGATATAGGCCTGAAGATGGTGAGTGTGGAAGGCCAGACAGGAACTCAGACTGCCACATCTCATCTCCTTCTGGAGGAATTACCAGTTGCATAGCATATCTATAAGTAATGAAGATAATCTGCAATAAACTGAATGGCCATTGGCACATTTATAAGATTAACAATGTAGGCCAAACTAAAAAAAATGATTAAAGTTTGTGGGAGAAAGAAAAAAAGATCAGAGTTAAGAAGGTGGAGGGGAATATATCTCAACAGAAAAGACTTTCAAAACATCCATATGCAAAGTTACTACAGTAGAAGCTTCCTGAACTATATAATATTCATATATATATATATGAATATTATATATATAAAGTTCACATGAAATAATCATGTAATGGAGGGAAAAAGCCCCACCTAGACAATACATATGACCAAAAATCCCCTATAATACATCTAGAAATGGGTTACCAGTTTTTAGGTGTTAGACAAAGTTGTTCCAGAGAACATACTCCTAATACTATAGATCATGGCCAAAGCAATTAATTACCCTCATTAACTTGATAGCAAGATTATCAAGATAGTTTTTATTTTCTGAACAAACCACATACTCCTGTCATAGAGCATGGAGAAACCTAGCTGTTATTCAAACGGAAGCTTCAGCACTAATGGCTATAATTCATAGTGCTAAATGTTGCTATACCTTATATCAGAGAGGAAAGGTAATCATCAATCTGACTCAAGTATCTATTACTCAGCTAAATGTTGCTATACCTTATATCAGAGAAGAAAGGTAATCATCAATCTGACTCAAGTATCTATTAATCATATGACCTACTATATCAACCTACTGGCAACATACACTGGTACAATAGTGATGCAACTGTTACAGGGAAACCAAACTTTCTTTTTAATTGGAATTAGGGTCCAGTCCATGAATGAGCCCATACTTGACACTGTTTATGTGGATAAGGTCATAAGATTTAGTGAAAATCCCACTAGTATGACTCTGGTTGACACATAAACAAAGACTCTCCTAAAGATATATTATCATACACATTAATCACCATAATGTTTAAAGCACTTCAGAGAAGTTTCTTTCAGTGTATGGTAATTAACACAGGGACCAACAGCTGAACAACCTGCAGAGAGTAAGAAACCCTAAATGGGATATTTGCATCACACCTCAAGGCTCAGGGATCTATGTAGAAGAGAAGGCAGAAAAATTCTAGTCAGAGGTTAAAAGGGACTTCCACCAGACAACATTTTTGAGAAACAACAGAGTAGACAAACATATGAAATCAGAAAGACATAACAGAATGTGCAAGACAAATAGAAGCCTAAACATGACAAATTCTTAGCATGGATGAGGGGAATTAGGCACAAATTCTCAGTCCTAGCAAAATGGTTCATAATTGAAAGCTGCTGAGAAAGGGAAAACCAGTTTTCTTCAATGGAGTAACATTAGGTAAGTATATCAATAACACTCCAAGGCAAGCCACGTTTTCAGCAATAATTGCCTAACACAAGTCAGATTTCACAAGTCAGATTCCCAATTTTTTAACATGATTTTCATTTTTTAAGAGAAAGAACATGAAGCTTAAAGGATAGAGTGGTGGAAGATTTGAGATGAGTTACATGAATGGGAAGAATATGATCAGAATAATCATATAAAATTTTTGAAGAATAAATAAAATCATTAAGCACAGAAAAACAATTTTAACCCAAACTGCCACAAAACATCAAAATTTTAAACACAATTTCATATAATCAAGAAATAATATCATTCTCTAACATGAAGGCAATAGTCTAATTCTTCAAACAGGAGGCTTTTATTAGAACAAACACTATTGTTGGAGTAGCACTGTGAATATTTCTAGCAGTTAATCATTGGGTTATTTTCTGTATTTGTTTCTTTAAGATAGAAAAAATGTCTTTCCTTCTGAAACCCTGCACCATTATGAAATGTAGAGCAATTAACTTTCAAATCAAAATAGAAAAATAAAGCAATCACCTGGAGCTGCTTGGTTATCTTTTCCAGGTCTGGCTACATCTTTCCCAGGTTTGGTGAATCCTCTGCCCTTGGGTTTTCTCAAACCTTTGTTGAGATATAAAATGAAAATCAAATAAAAAAAATGGTGTACATGTAAAGCTATAACACACTAAGCTCTGGTATGGATGTTAAATAAAACTCCATATAATAAAATATAGACACTCTCATAATGTTGTCATGAAGGGCTTTCATCATGCTCACATAATATACAGCTTTCAGTTATCTGGTAACCCAATTTAGACAATTTCAATGTTTTCTGTTAAGAATACTTGCCATGTTCTTTGCATCAATTTCCACATGTTTTACAAAAGATATTTCAGTATCAACACCTTTACAATTTTGTTATTCTTTAAAAAGGGTTTTATATAGCAAAATGTACCAGTTCTAAATAGGGAGAGATATCAAACACACACACACACACACACACACACACCCTAATATAACTGTTTTTAAAGATTAACTACTCTCATTTTAAGGGCTTTATTTTATAAGTTAAAACAACCTACAGTTTTAATTTTACTGTGCTCAAAGGTATTCATAAATAGGACCAGGGATGAAAGCTATCCTATCTTTTGCAGTATTTTTATTGTACTTCTACTCACCAAAAAGGGACATAATCTATAGCATCATATTCATTTACAACTAATTTCATTTCTATAAACCAGACTTACTTCATTCTTAACAACTACCACTCCAGGTTTAAAACTCTCAATTTAAAGAACTCTATTAATGTTACTCATATTACCCTTTCTTTTCATAGACTCCCTGTCATCAGTTTCAGGATGTTGACCAGAACCATACCACCAATAAAGATTCCAGATAACACCCTGAAATAGTTATTCATGGCAATTTCTGAATCTTTTCTGTCTTCAAGACAACAGTGTCTCTATGTCTATCCTCCTGATCATGTTTTACACTCTCATTGCAAAATTTAACCACAGTTCACTTATTTTCATCCAATCTATTAGGTTTCTTTTGGCTTTCCTCTACTCCTACTGCTGCTTGAACTCTACTGTCCACCTTCATCAATACCTCTAAATGAAGTATTCTTCCTTCTATAATACTGAGCAGTGAGTGAGCTCACCTCCAAGCCATTCTCTAGTCAGAAACAACGGACTAAAGGTTAACAATGTAGTTTTGTAAAAAGATAGACAGGAATCATTGTGATAGTAGTTTTGTAAAAAGATAGACAGGAATCGTTGTGATAGTAGTTTTGTAAAAAGATAGACAGGAATCATTGTGATAGTTACATATGGTCTCTACCATACATTCTTCTTTGATTGTTTTTAACAAAAAGAAATACAAGAACATAAAACCAATATTATCATTATCATATAGGCATCATGGGATGTATAAGGCCTGCTCTGCAACACCCAAGATAATCTCAATAGAAGAGTTGCTGCTACTGTAATTTACTTCCAAGTAGATTCCTAAAATGTTTTATTCAGTTCAAGTTCCCACCCATTAGTATTTTTGCATTTGTACTGACCTGCTTTTGGCATTCTGACAGGAAATGCCCTCAGCTGCAGCCACTAAGAGCAACACATGTGCCTATTCACTATATTCCCTTTTTAAAGGGTCCTGCCCACCTCTTATAGCTCTCTCTCTATTCCTTCCTCTTACCCTTTCTCTCCATCTATCTGGTCCTCGCTCATCCTGCTGTTCCTTTCCATGGAGGCCAGTCTCCCACTCCCTTTTCCCTGTTTTACAATCTGTTCCCCCTAGGGGGAAAAAGTCCAATTAAACTCTGTAACATGGTATCTTTCTCCAGCCAGTTTTTTTTTTAATTACAACACTTATCTCTGTGTGTGTGTGCTCTATTCAGCAAAGCATTCACCACCATACTTTATATGAAAGTAGATTAAAGGCTATCTTTGGGAATTACCTGAATTATATATAACACCTTAAAAACTACGCTTGAGGCTGAGGACAAGGTTCAAAAGGCAATAGTACTTATTGCTTCCCTTGCAGAAGACCAGAATTCATTTCTAATACCCATACCAAGTGGAGCAGAACTTTCTGTAATTCTAGCTCCAGAAGAATTCAATTTCTGTCCCCTTGGAATAACTCCATGCATATGCAAAAACATGCAGACACACATATAGATAAATAATAAATAAAACTTTAAAGCTTCCAACTCCCAATAACCAAACCCCCAAATATTAAATGTTAAAAAAAAAAACATACAGGATGAAGAATCCAAAGTCCAATTTTAAAGATGATTAATGAGTCCAAATCGGATTCAAATGAACAGAAAAATTAATTTAGGCAGTCAATTCAGAGATAGGATGAAAAAACACAGTAACTTGCACAAAAAATAAAAGAGGGTGATTCTGAATAAAAGAGCTATTCACAGAAATCTTTGAAGTTCTGGCCAAAGGTGTTTCATAGACTCTTCCCCTTCTACACTACAGGCTACTGGTAATGCTATTGGTTATCCTCTAAAACTTGACAGTAAAATCTTAAGGTAGTTTTAATTTGTGGAATGCACTACCAACTTATGTTTTGGAACATTCAAATTGGTTATGTTTCATAGTGCTAAAAGGTGCTATACATACTACCAAAGGGGCAAAGAAATGACCAATCTGGCCCATATACTAACCTAGTGATGTACAAAATTGATCCTTCTGTAAAATATACTTTGCAAAAATAGCACAAATATTATAAGAGTAATAAAGCACTGTTTAATTAGATTTAAAAGCTGCTCCATTAAATGAGCCCCATATTTTACACTGTTAATCAGGCCAAGAAGTTGAGATTAGACAGATCACAAGCCTTATGGAAAATCCTACTAGTGTGATTCTGCTGAATTGACATAGAAATAAAGTGATTCCTATGACAGGCTGCTTTACTCCATCACACAAGCATCATCGAGAAGCTCCTTACACTGAGTGATAATGAAAACGACGACTTTTAAGTGGACAACACGCACAGAGACTGCAGTGCTCAACCCTAAACATATGTCTGTATCACATCCCTAAAATTTCAAGCCTGAAAAAAATCTCAGCATGGAGAAGGGGAAGTAGACATACAAATTCCAGCCCTGTCCAAGAATTAATAGCTGCCAGAAAGGGATAATCCATTTTCTTCAATGGAATAACACTGATTATATCAACCACACACAGAGGCAGGGGACGTGTTTAGAAATAGTTGGCTAACACAAATCAGATTCCCATTTTCTAGGTGTTTCTCATGTTTGTTTAAGAGAAAGTAAGAGAATGAAGTCCAGAAATGAAGACATGGAGGATAATTTGAGAAGAGTTGGAGGAGGTGAAAGAGTAGGAACAAAATAAAATAAAAAAAATATTAAAATCATTATACAATAATTTAAATCACAGTTGCTATATAAATGAAGACTTATATACAGAAGATTTTCATATAATCAGAAAGTAGTGTAAAAGGATGCATTGATTTAAAACAAACAGAAACTTTGGACTAGAACACTAAAAATTTCCAGCAATTTATCAATGAGCTACTTTCTACGGGTTTTCTTAAAACAGAAAATATTTTTTTCCTTCTGAAACACTACACCATTACTAACTGTGCATGAATTATCATGAAAATCAATATGAAAAGTTACAGAAATCACCTGGGGCTGTTTGGTCACCTTTCACAGGTCTGTCTTCATCCTCAAAAGGGTTGGTGAATACACTGGCCTTGGATTTTTCTGCAGCTTCTTGGAGGTATGAGATAAAAGTAAAAATAATGTACATTAAAAAACAGGAACATACTATAATAAAACACAGAATCTCCTATAGTGTTTTCAATAAAAGGCTACCATCATGCTCATGTGATATGTGGCTTCCAGTTGCCCAATAGCTTTAATATTATTAACTGTGAGGAATAACTGCCAGGTCATTTGTGTCTATGTTAAATGTTTAACAACAGAAAAATTACACAACCAATTCCTTCATAATTTAGTTATTAGAAAAAATGAATTTCACTTAGTAAAAAGCAGTATTTCTAAATAAATTTCTTTGTTTGGAAATATTTGAAAGACATATACACAAATATGTGTTCAAAGCTCAGTTACATTTTTTGAGTGTTTGTCTCATAATATGAAACAGTCTATAGCATTGCTTCTTCTGGGTCAAAGACCATACATATAAATAAACAGGACATGTGAAAACAAATGCCCCATCTTTCTTGAACCTTTTTATGCCACACCTCCCTTTCATGTAGTCTATATTCAGCTGCCAGGGCAAATAACAAATGTTTAAAGATTATTTAATTAAATTTAATTGCTGCCATAGTCTCACCCTTCATTCACAATTAATCCAACTTTATTCACCAAACTCTTAATTCACTTTTAACAACTTCCTCACACTTCAGGTTTAAAAACAAGTCTTTCAAAAAATTCATATGAAAACCCATGGTATTATGATTATTTCAACATACACCAAGCCAGGCCATATGTTCAAAAGTAGTCAGCTGACACAAATCAGACTCCCATGTTTTTATGTTTTCCTACATTTATTTAAGAGAGAATAAAACAAAGTCCACAGGATGGAGAGGTGGCAATTTGGGAGGAGTTGGGGGGCAAGGAGTGTGATTAAAAGTAAATTGTATGAAATTCTCAAAGAATAAATAGAAATACTAACATAGGAAACATAATTTTTAACAAAGATGCCACATAAATGAAGATTTATATACTCTAAATTTTCATATACTCAGGAAATAGTCTAATTATTCAAAAAGAAGGCAATGGTCTATTTCTCTTACAAGTAAGATTTCATTAAAACAAAAACGTAAGACTAACAAAGCTAAGAGTGTATCACTGAGCTACTAAGCTACTTTCTGATTTGTTTTCCTAAGACAGAAAAGAAACTTTCCTTCTGAAAGCACTATTCTGTGTACAGGAATTATCTTGCAAATTAATATAAAGATTCCAGCTAAGGTCCTGGAAATGAGTATTCCTGTAAATTTCTGGAACTGTTTCATCTCCAAGACACCCTACAACTCCCTTTGTCCACCCTACAACTCCCTTATTTGCTCTTTCATTTCAGAACAACTGATCATGTTTTATACTCTCATTGCAAAGTTTATCCATAGCCCTTCTATTTTCATTCAATCCATTATGTTTCTTCTGGCTTTGCTCTATACCTCATGCAACTTTCACAACTGTTAACTCCACCAATACTTCTAAATTAAGTATTCCTTCACGCCTGAGCTGTGAGTCAGCTTCTGCTTCTCAGTCACATTCTCATCTACTTTCTCCAGTCAGAAGCAACAGAATAGAAGTTAACAATTTTGTTTTGTAAGGAGCTAGACAGTAAACATTCTGATGGACAGAGATACGTATGATCTCCGTGTCTACCACATTCTTGGTTGCACTTTAAAAAACAAACAAAACTAACCAAAGAACATAAAAAACAATCTTGTCACACAGTCACATGAGCTGGAAATGACCGTCTATATATCTAAGCTCTATTAAAGAACCACTGCTGCAATTTATTTTTAAATACATTCTCCTGTGTAGTTAGCACTTGTCCCCACTTCCCAATGGGCATGGTCAGTGCAACAGGTGGGGGCGGGATGGATATCTCACTACACTCCTGTTACACTATTTTGTTTTAAGTTTCTACCTCCATCTCTCTGCTGCATTCAACATACTGTTCCAATCCTCTACTTTATATGTAGCTTAAAGTCCATCTCTTGAAGTGAGTTTACATATTCATTACACCATTTTAAAACTCTCTTTAGGCCTGAAAAAAATGAGTCAGCAATTCAAAGTATTTTCTACTGCTCTTCCATAGAACCTGAGTACAGTTTCCAACACCCAATCAAGTGGCTCACAACTACCTGTAACTGCAGCTGCTGAGATGCGCATATATATGTATATGTACATGTATAATTTACACACACATATACATGCATATATATATACATATATATATATATGTATATATATATAAATAAAATTCCCAACTCCTACATAACAAATCAAAGATATTGAAATGGCAAAAAAAAAATCAAAAGTCTACTTTTACAGATGATTAATGACCTCAAAGTAGATTTAAATCAACAGGTAAATTCAGCCAGGCAGTTCAGAGATGAGATACTCAATAACTATGGTACAAAATCTAGCAAAGAGTTAGAGGTTCTGCAAAAAAGAAAAGATGGATGGACAGACAGACAGATGGACGAACAGACAGAAAGGAAGAAAGATATGAAGAAAGACAGGAAGGAAGAAAGAGATGCAGAAAAAGAAAAACTGAATAAATCAAAATTTGAAATCAGTGGATCACTGGTCCCATGAAAGGACAAGAAGATGATATAGCCCTGGAGATGAGTGTGACAGGCCAGATGAGAACTGTGAGTGTCACAATAAACTTCCTTCAGTGGGAATCAACATTAACATAGCACATATATAGATAATGATGAAAGTGTACAACAAACCAAATGTTTACAGATATGCTTATAAATCCTGTAGGAATGACTAATATGAAAAGCCTTTCAAACCCTCCAAAGGGAAAGCATTTTAATAGAAGTTTCCTGGAATATATATATATATATATATATATTAAGTGAAGTGATAATATATATTGGAGGGACAACAACCCAACTTGACAACAGATGCTACTAATATAAACCTTAGTATATAAAACTTCTTTTTGAGGTACTGGCCAAAGGTTTCTCATAGACATGATCCCTAACACTACAGGCCATTGCCTATGCTATTTGGAACTCTCTATAATTTGACAAGAATTTCAAAGCAGTTTTAATTTGCTGAACACACCACATATTTATGTCATTGTACGGTGCATGGAGAAATCCAGCTGGTACTCAACTGGAAACTTCACCCTTACTAGCTAGGTTTCACATTACTAAAATATATTATAGACACTACCAGGAGGAAAAAAATCAGTCTCATATAACTATGAACCTTCTGAGCTCCAATAACCTCCTGTCCTCAAGGTATGCTCACTGGCAAAATAGTGGCAAGAATGTCATACAATGAACTAGTTTTTCAGTGGACTTAAGGCTCATTACCTGAAACGGAATCTGTAACTGACACTGCCAATGAGACCAATAACCTGTGACAAGACAGGTCTTAGGGCCTTGTGGGGAAATATATAATTATTATTCTGTTAACTACAATAAAATGACTTGTAATGGCATATTCATTGATCTGGGCATCCCTAAATCCTTGTCAGAAAAGCTTCATGTAGTGGATGGCAATCAACATTGATACCTACAAGTAAACCAACCACCTGAAGAAATTTAGAGACTTTGAAATACTCAACCTTACATGGATGTCTGAATCAAACCCTTACTGTCAAGGCTCAGGAATCCATGTGTTAAGTGAGAACAAAAAAGACTGGAAAACCAGAGATGTTAGAAATCTTCAGAGACAGGGTTTTCATTATGTAAAAGGAGAGATGAAGAAAGGAACTCACAAAGACTGCAACAGAATGTATAATACTTGCATAAGCTTGAGCCTGACAAAATCCTAGGATGGAGGAGAGGAAGTAAGAGCATAGTCCCAGCCCTAGCCAAAACATAATTTACAACTGAGAACTGCTGGATAAGAGAAGATGAGATTTGTTCATTGGAATGACAGTAGGTATCATTCCAAGGTAGCTCCCATGTTCAAGATAGGCTGAAAACACATATCAGACTCCCATTTTTATGTGCTTCCCTTCTATTTCTCCTGGAAGGCATTACTCACCCTGTGGAGTGGGGATGGGGAATGGGATGGGAGGAGGGTCGGGGGGGTATGGGAGGGAGGGAAGGAGGTAGAGCAGGCGGGTCGGGAGCATGGGAGGGAGGGAGGGAGAGAGACTGGGATCGATACGTAAAATAAGAAAAAAAACAAAACAAATAAACAAACAAAACAGGAATTCAGGTGGACAGAGAGGTATGGAAGATCCTGAGGAACTAAGGGCAGGGAAAGTATATGATCAAAATAAATTATATTATTATATTAAATTCTCAAAGAAAAGCATTTTAAAAGTACAACATTAAATATTTTTAAAAGTGCCACTTAAGTGGAAGTTTTAAGTGCAATAGAATTTCGTATGCCAGGAAATAAGTCTAATTTTCTCAAAAATAAGATTTAGTCAAATACAAGCATGACTGATCTATCACAGTGAAAATTTCTAGCAATTTAACATTGGTCTACTTTTTGTAATTGTTTTCTTAAAGCAGAAAAGAACCTTTCTTTCTAAACACTGCACTATTATTCAATGTACAGGAATCAACTTGCAGACTAATGTAGACAGAACGAGTCAATCACCTGGGGCTGCTGCTTCTTCACTTTCCAAAGCTGTGGCTCCATCTTTCCAAGGTCTAGTCGCTCCTCTGCTCTTCGGTTTCTTTTCAGCTTTTTTTGAGAAATAAAGTATATATATATATATATAAACAAAAAACAAACAAAAACATGTACTTAAAAGCTAGAACACTTTAGGTTCCTGTATGCATGCCAAATATGAAAGCTCTAATAATGATTTATTAATTCTAATAGAGTGTTGTAATAAAAATACATTCTCATGTGATATACAGTTCCCAGTTACCTGGTAGCATAATTCAGAGAATTGTAATATTGTATGTGATGATAACCTGCCAAATAAATTGTGTCTATGTTCAGTTTAAAAACAGAGATATTTCAGTAATCATGCTTGGACAATTTTCTTAGTAGAAAAACTATAGTTTACATAGAAAACATTACTAATTTTAATTTTTTTTTTTGTCTAGCAGCACATGTGCGCACACGTGCGCGAGCACACACACACACCATATAAAGATGGAATTTTATAGCTAAGAGTGCCTACATTAAATTCAGATATCATGTCAATAACCTAATGACATATGTAAAGGTTTTAGAAGAGTAAAACCATGCAAAACTAAGAATTCCTAGAAGGGAAAAAAGACTAGTCAAAAATTAATGTAATGGAAACCAAAAACAACATAAAGCACTAAAATACAAAGGATTTAAAAATATGGAATTAAGTAATGAGGGTAATTACTTTTTATATTCAAATTTGAGGAAGCTTACATGCAAACCTAAAAGGAATACAATTTAAAGTAGTGTTGAAAATAAGCATCAATGTCTTCTCAGTAATCCAATGTTTTGGAGATCTAGTTTCTTTAATTTTATTGACATAAAGGTTTATTTTGTTTGACTTCAATGTAACTACTTTGAGTAAAAATAACTTGAGTTTTCAAACTTTATAGGTTATATGTGCATTCAAGCAAAAACAACAACAAAAACACAACACAACAAAACAAAAAAACTGCATCTAATATTTGAAGGACTATTTTCTGACAAATTTCTTAGTTCCTTTTTATTTCTTAGAGAAACTTTGCCCACTAATATTGAAGCATCCTTGAATTTTCCTATCTCTAGAGGCCATGGAACCAATCCCTCCAGGATACTGAGGAATGACTGACTATGAATGAACTAAAACTAAATAGATATAAAGTTCCACTGCATGTCAGCAGTGATCTTTAGCATTCTCAAAACTGATACACAATAATCTATAGCTCAGTCTCAAGCAATTACAGAACTTAAGTGTACATTAAGTATCTTAGGTAGAAGTCCTTCAGAAAGCCTGACTTGGGATTCTATAAAGGAAAAGCCCCCTCTGTTCTCCAGGTAGTTGAATTCTAGAAACATACAATGCTATCTGTATTCATAAAAGTAGGCATTCTCTGTTATGTTTTTTGCCATCCGTCCACACTTATACACCTTAATTCCACACTTTTCCACTTATAATTCTTTCTGTATCATCACCTAATCTAGATACTATCCACTGTCTCCTACTTTCCCACAGTGCCCCCAACAAGAAAACAAAACTTTCTTGTCTCCTTTATTTACAAGCTGATTGTTACAAGCAAAAAAAAAAAAAAAAACTAGCTACACAGGAAAACAATGGATCTAAAATTTAGCTTAATTGTCTTTTTTAAAAAAAACTTGATGGGTCATGTATTAATTTCTCAATTCTGATATGAAGATTTATACTAATTGCCCATTTATCTATCAACTATACTCCAAGAATCTAATAAATATTAACAAGTCTGGACCTTAACTCCTCCATCATCCTTCTTGAGTCTCTTTGATAATCCAACATTTCTTTTTTAGTACTAAAAATACATACATATAACAAAAGGTGACTCTTATCTACAAGGAAATCTTTCACTTAGAAAACCAAGGATTCATCTAAACGACTTTATTTTGGAAAGTGTCAAATATAGCAGTAACATGCCATTCCCAAAAGCTTTAATAACAAAACCAACAACAAACTATATTTAAGGGCTGTAACTATAACTATGATTCAGTTCTATTTCAAAACTGGGCTCATGAATTTAAGTTATTTTTATTGAAAAAAATTATTTTTTCATTTTACATATCAACCCAAGTTTCTGCTCCCACCCCTTTTTTCCCCCATTCAGTCTTCAGAGGAGGTAAGGCCTTCCTTGGGGAGCCCAAAGTTTGTCATACTTGATATGTCAGATTTAATTTATTTTTAAAGGTTACAAACAGGAAAACCTAGAATGATTATTGAGACATATAATCCCAGCATTTGGGAGAGAGAGGCAGAAAAACTGTTGTGAGTTCTATTCTAGCCTATATTACAGAGTGAGATCTTGAATTTTAAAAACAAAGACTGTCTTTTCCCCCCTGGCATACATTCTACACTAAAACAAAATTAGATCTAACAACATTTATATGCTTTTCCAGTCCTGTTATATAGTTGTCTCATAAATATTCTGCCAAGAAAGAAGTAAAATAAAATCAATAAGCAAGAAATTGCAGTCAGAATTTAGAAGGGCTGCAGAGTCATATTTTAAAAACATGTGTGCTTTCTGCTTGTGGGACCACAGAAACATTATAAACTATTCCCTTCAGATGTCTGGGGAATACTTTCCACAATGACTATTTTATTTCACAACTGCTGCTAATATATACTTGACAGTATCAAAAAAAGTACACTATCTAAAATCTTTAATATTTTCAGAAGAAACAACACAAAAAAGCAGTTTTAGGACAATTTGAAGTTCACCTAATAATATAAGATTTTTTTAAAAAAAAATCACTTAACTTTTAAATCATAGTATCTTTTACCTTCTGAATAATTTCTAACAATGACTTATAATATGCTGTTCAAAATAATCACAGCAGACATTACTATAATTTTCGCTAAAAATTAAATGTTTTGATGTAATAATCAGTAAAATGTTATAAAGTTTTTTTCAGTAAGTCTCATTCAATGTTAGTGAAAAAATATTTATGGTCATATTCCTAAAACTTAAGAAAAAAATTATAATACTTTCATTATAAACTGGTCAACTAAATAATTAAACATTACTTATATTTAGATTGTTCCTTGTTTTTAAAACTACAAATATTCTTAGGTAGAAATAAACAAAGACTGAAATTTTCCTCATGTCTTTTAAAAACAACCTTTGAAAATGACTATTCAAATAACAGTGCTAAAAGTTTCAAAAAGTAGTATTTAAAACAGGCCTGTCTAACTAAAGTCTTTGGTATATATAGTGCACAAAGACTAACAAAGCAGACAATAGATTTTTAAACCAGATTTTAGCTAAAATATAAAGCTAATTCCTACCTTTATAAATACTCCAGAGAGACAAGCTGCTGCTGTATTTACCATTAAGCTGACTTATGTTCCACTTCATAGCCTTACTCTTCCTAGCCAGGATTAAAGCTGAATTTCTGCAGAAAAGGACTCAACAACAAAGCCCATGTTGCCTGAACAAGCCTGAATTTCTAGCAAATGGGGATGGAGCTATTTGCATTGTTGATTTAAGGAGGGAGGAGTGAAGGGAATAGATAAAGGGGGCTGGTAATGTAATTTGTATATTGTCTATGAGCTGTTGAGACAGGGATCATCAGTCACCTGCTCAAAGTCCCTTCATTTCACCCTCAAAGAAGGAACAAAGGTTACCCTGGGTCAGAGAATTTGGAAAGAATTGAAAGACAGGCAAAATCTAACTACCAATCCATTGTGTCTGTAGAGAAAGTTATCCATGCTGAACCACATGTTCCTTTAACCAGGGCATTTTTAATAGCCTTAAGAGAACCCTGCTAAAATTAATCATAGCACAAAACCAAGGATAGTTTAAAAGGCTAGGCACTGCTTGTAATTATCTTAATACTTAGCAAGAAATATTTAAATCAGAGAAAAAGACTTTTTATTTATTCCAAGCTATTTTTTTTTGCATCATAATAACTTTCTCACACAAGTGAAAAAAACACTTATCAAAACTGTTCATATACAACAGAAAATATGTTTTAGATTTCATGCCCTTTTGGGTTGACAGCATCTCTGGAAATTTCATTCATACCTAACAAAAAGAATGTTCAATGTACTAAGTTTATTAACCTATACTGCATTGTAAATCACATCAAGAGCAAAAACCTGAGTATTTGAATGTCAATCAGCAAGACTGACATACTTCATTTAACCTTGATGAAACTTTTTTCTTAAACTTTTTTCTGAGAATTTTATATGTGCATACAATGTACTATGATCAAATCTATCTTGAACTCTTTATAGCCTTCATTATGTGCACATGTACCATTATCTTATCCACCTGACAGAAAACTAATTTTAGTTTTTAGCTAAACATACAGTCCTACTATATATAATAAAGGTGGTAAAGATATGCTTCAAAATATACAGAATCTTAATTCTGAAACTTAGAGAGGAAAAGCATAAGTTCTAGAACATACATACTTCTTTGAACAAAGAAAGCACCAGACATAATTTATACAGTTTTGGTGTGGGGGTAATAAAGAAGTAGAAAATAAAGCTATTTCTATTTACAAAGTAAAGATGTGAAATACTTCCCAAGAGACAAACTTTGGAACAGTTATGGAGAAAAATGCTAAATTCTACTTTTCCAAAATAAAGAAAGACTACATAAAAGAATCAGTTACACGTTCTGAAAGGATCCTGCATGAAAGCATGAAATAAACATTCAAAGAAATAGCAAATAATACAAACATAATTATGGTTAAGATCTGTTTCATTTTCCTTTTAACCATAGGAAAGGTGCAAAGGAAGTAACAATGCATAGCTGCACCTTACTGAGTGTAGGTTTGCCCTCCTCCACAGTTCCTCTTAGAAGGAACTCTTCCACACATTAGAGATCCTGCAACTTTAGACTCAAATCATGGGAAAGTTTGCTTCTTGCTCTTCATGATAGTCTATAATGTTACAGTTGGTTCCTCAGGCCTGAAGACCAGAAGGAATACAGAAAGCAAGAGGGGAAAACATCCAAAAAGCATCCACATAGTAAAGAAAAACTCGTAATTCAGCACCTAAACTGGTACTAACCCCAAACCCAGATTACTAGTAGGCCAGTATACAAAAACAATCAACAACCCAGGGCAATATGGCATCACCAGAGCGCAGCTATCCTACTAGAATGAGTCCTGGATATTCCAACAAGCAGAAGCACAGGAAAATGACCTTAAATCCATTCTTACTAAGATGATGGAGGCCCTTAAAAGAGGAAATGAACAAACCACTTTAAAGAAAAAAAAAAATCGAGGAAAACAAACAGGTGAAGGAAATGAGTATAATTAAAGAATTGGCCCGAAAGACAGCTTCACACAACTGAAGACCATTACTAAAATCAATAATATATAAATATGCACCTAATTTTAAAAATTCATTATTTCAGACTTTAAATTCAACTTAATTTATATAGTTCATGATTACAATCCTTAAGTATTGTTAAATCAAAGTAAAACATTTACAATAGTACTATTTCTTAAAGACTAAATAATCTCATAATCTTAGGAAAATTACTGTAGCACACATTTTTAATTATTTTATTTTATGTGTATGTTTTGCTTGCATATATGTCTATGCATAATATGTGTGCCATGCATGGTACCCTCAGAAGACCTACAAAGCTGTCAGATACCCTGGAACCACAGATTCAGAAGACTGTGAGCTCATACATAGGTGCTGGGAATAAAACGGAAGTCCTCTGGAGGGGTAGCCAGTGCTCTTTGCCACTGAGATATTTCTCCAGTCCCTGGGGCACTTTTTAAAACAGAATCTTATTCTGAATGTCTCAAATGACAAATGTATATCTTCATTCAAAAAAACAAAAAGGAAAGAAAGAAAATATCTTCACATGTTAAAAAAGGGGTCACTCCAGTTATGATCCTAAATTACTGGAATATCCTGTTTGTTCCTTCCTGCATTACATGTTTGTAATGACTGTTCAAACTCATATAACATGCTGCAGTCATGGGGAGGGCAACATGATAAAAATAGTTTATGAGGAATCATTAAACTTCTATCAGTTTATAAATAATCTAAAAGGAATTGATATTTACAAAGAAGATCTGGGAGTGGGGAAAACTGAAAAAGAAAACAGGAATTAAAAAAAATAAATTGTTCAAAGAAAATCTGCAATAAGCCCTGTTTTCACTTATGCAAACCTCTCCTCCAAGTTGCTAAGGACATAGCAACACATAAGCAGCTCTGTTCTTTTTTTCACTATATACCCTGTACTGACAGTCTTGAAAAGAAATTTGGTCAGTTGTGACATCACAGGGAGTTTTAAGAGAACACAGGGTCTCAACAAGAGCTTGGAAAAGAAAAAGTGGATAAATTTAAAAAGCACAGATTTCTCTACTCCTATGAAGCCTAATTAAAAACTTCATTATTTCTGATCACAGAAGTAGTTGTTAAAAAAAATGGAAGAAGTTGTAAAGCAAATGAAACTTTATTCTCCTAATCAAGTAGCATTCATGTCTCATTATACTTTTCTAAAAACTGCAACTATATTGCCTTTAGTAATTATTTTTCAAAAGCTTTAAATGTATGAAAAAGCAATTCTTTATAAGTTAAAAACCATTTCTACTACATTTAAGAAATACTCAAAATCAATATAAAATTTTACTTTATGAAGTATGATTATCTTAATGCTATTTATGTTATTTGAAATTAAAGGGCCCTTATTTAATATTTAAGTCAATAAAGACTTCTATTAATTGAAAAAAGACTATAATGACAAAAATCAAATGACTGAAGAAAATATTTTTAATTGAGAGAAATGCATTTAAGCTATGCAATAAATGAAACAATAAAACTAGTAGAGAGAGCAGTATTTGAAGATGAAAAATGAGAAAAGGTGAGTAGACAAATTATAAAGGAATATCAATAGGCAAAGCATATGGACAGAAAAAGTTTTAAATTCAGCCAATTATGGAATGAAAATTATAAATACATTTGTATTGAATAGTAATTACAAACATCATTTTAAATATAACTATCTCCTATTTACATTCTATATAACAACACGGTACCAACTTTCTAAATGTTACTTTGGCTTTGTTGATATTCTTAGCATGAACTGGGACATAAGATCCCTAGGGAACTCTCAAGAATTCTAATTATCCTGGAGCTGGAGAGATAGCTCAGTGGTTAAGAGCACTGCCTGATCTTTGAGAAGATATGGGTTCAAATCAAAACACCCACATGGCAGCTCACAACTGTCTAAGTCCTGTGCCAGGGAATTCAACAGCCTTGCACAGACATACATGTAGGCAAAACACCAATGTACATAAAATACAAATAAAACATTGTTTAAAAAAGAATTCTAATTATCCTAATTTAAAACTTCCATCAACTCTAGTATCTACAGTAGAGAATGTTATTTACTGGTCTGCCTGCCATTCTAATTTGGCATCAAGTCCTGTTATCACCGCTACTAAACACAATGACACCAAAATAATATCTAAAATAACAAAATATAGATATAATAATAATTAGATATTAGCTTACCAATACTTCCTGGTGGCTGCAATACATCTCCTGTGAGACAACACCATCCAACAGGGAAGATATCCCGGGAGTCATATTTGCACCAATAATCAAATGTTCCACTCCATCCATCAAAAGTAATATGAATTTGATCTCCTTTGACACCTCCAATTGTGGCAGGACAGATCAGAAATGGGTTTTTTCTATCAACAGCTTCAATCTTCATCCCCACTTTAAAATTATTTAGGGGTGGTGGTGGTGGTTCCTATAAAAACATTTTTAAATTTTTCACAGTTAAGATATAATAAGAACTATCTTTTCAGTGTGTTCTTTTACAATCCTTAGTAACAAAAATAGGCTTCACACTTTATCAGGAAGAAAGGTATTCTTAAGAAATCACAAACTATTCCTTTAATATTTCACTTTTTTCTTGCAGAGGCAAAGATCTAGATAGAATGAAACAAAATTAGCCTGATCCATGCATTCATACAAAAAAGTCATGTTCAGTCATGTGGCAGCAACTTAAGAATCACTAACAAACAAAAATTTTAAATATTGCTTACACGTAAAAATCACTTTAAAAGGTTTTCCTTTTGACTCCAGAAAAGAAGAGTCTAAATATCAAAGGATAGATTTTATTCTGAAGAGATAAAAATAGGAAGGGCTCTGGAAGTCAGTCAGAAAACAGTAAGACTGTTGACAACCATGATGACACAGAAAGACCATGCAGGGAAATATAGAAATCAAGTAGAAGTCCTGTCTGTATCTTCATCTAGAATTGGTGTTTAAATAAATCTAACCATCTACAGTGAAAATTTTAAAACATCAGGGAATAAAATTCAATCTCTATCAATATTCCAAAAACATTTTACATAACTGAAAATTCAATCTTAAAATTCACATAGAAGCCCAAAGTAATACACTAGATAGCCAAAACAATTCTGAATAATATAAACAAACAAACAAACAAAAAACACTGGTGGACATATTACTATTCCCGATTTCAAGTTACACTATAGAGCCATAGTAGTAAAACCAGCATGGTACCGGGACAAAAACAGACACTGAGATCAATGGAAGAGCATTGAGGACCCAGGCATAACTACATGTCCCAACAACTACCTGATTTCTGACAAAGATGCCAGAAACATACACTAGAGAAAGATAGTTATTTAAACAAACTTTATTTAGAAAGCTAGCTATATACATATAGAAGAATGAAATTTGATCCTTCTCTCTCAACTTGCACACAAATAAATGCCAAATAAATACAAAATCAACGATAGATCTGAAATTCCAAAATTTCTAGAAGAATAAGGAATGTACTTCAGTATAATGGCTGAGGTAAGGACTTTCTGATTAGGGTTCCAATTATTTAGGAGTAAATACAACAATCAACAATTTTGACTTTATGGAATTAAAAAGTCTCTGCACTACAAAGGAAACTGTTAATCAACTGGTCATTGTGCAGAGAACAAATGTTCTCAGCTATGAATGGGACAGCCATATCATACCATCCCACTACCACAAGACTCAGGAGCGAGCCATTGTGGAAAAGAAAGGCAGGAAGATTCTAAGAACCAGAGGTCAGGGAGAACCAGAGCAAAATAATCTTTCTGGGTGTGACAAGATTATTAGACTAATGAATTCATACAACTATAGTTTCTAGTATGAACTGAATAGTGTCTCTTTTACACTAAATTTCTGTTCAAGTAATACAAATATGAATACATTTGAAAACAGTCTTAACCCAGTTTGACTGGTATGGTGTAATAAGAAGAGACCCACTGGGTGTATACACACAGAGAAGAGGCCCTAAAAGGATACAAGGAGGTGGTCGGTTATAAACCAGCCTTCAAGGCACCCTAGTTCTTGTTGTTCTAGCCTCCAAATTGTAGGAAAATATTTTTTTTATTGTGTAATGCACTAACAAACTAACAGTATTTGCCAACCTGCAATTAAAAAAGAACAAAAACTTTTTTTCATGTTGGAAAAGAGAAAAGTATGGAGCATTTCCATTAAAAAAAGAAAATCATGTTCTAGAGGACAGAAATTTCTTCGAAGGGTTTTCTTACCTTCTTAAAGAACACTGCAGGTGCCAGTTCAGATCCAGTAAGTGTCCGTAGTAAGAACATGGGCCAAGATGAAACATTCATTCTGTACCCTGTTTTATAAATCAGATACCATAAAAAACATGTAAAACTATGTTAGTATAGAACGAATGGTTATATTAACTTATCCCCTTTCTAAAGATTTGAGTAAAAGGAGATGCATCTTCTTGTAGCTAAAGTTATCGCTCTGATGTCTAGCTACAATGTCAAAGTGGAACCAGAAATTTTCACTTTTATTTTAAGAATCTAGATTTTGCCAACAAACACATTTATGTTGGGGTCAAGCCATAATAATACAGTTAATACAAACCACAGCCTAGTAAAGCTTTCATTTTACCACCAAAGACCATGCAAGCATTGAAAAAGGTTCCAAAAGGCTTGTAGCCCTTTTCCAAGGAGACCCTGACTTTCAAAAAAAAAAAAAAAAAAAACACATTTCTATTGAACTTCACCAGTGTACATATACAAAATGAAAAACTATGAATATATACTCTAGTAAACAATACGGATGCTTAAGTCTTTAAAGGAAGTATACTAATACCAATAACTATTCTGGGATATATAAGATAGATGACCACATAAATAATAATCAATATAGTAAAATAATAAATCAATATGGTGCAATTATGGGGTAGTGACTCTATGAATGTTCATCATAATTTTTTTTTACATTTAGTATATCTCTAAAACATTTCATAAAATATTATGAAAGGACCTCTTCCTTTAGCAATTCTTACACATACTAGACATAATCTTAAAATTTGTAACAGAAGTTACCAAAATAGCCTTGTTTAGAAATTTTACCAACTTATATCAACATTTCATATTTGCAGCAGAAAGTACAAGTTGGCTAGTTTTACTGTTTTCTGGGGGCAACCATTTTCACTCAAAACCTGCCTCCCCTAATGCTAGAAGTGGAAAAAGGTTTCTGTGCACTCTTGATGAATTCATCCACTAAGATAGGATGCATGGGAATCACTGGCAACATATGCAAAAATGTTAAGATAGACCAAGTCATCCTCAAATAATCTTTTACTGATATTCCCCAAAATATAACTAAGAGAACAAATGGTGGTAATGGAAATGGATGGAATGGTTATTTTTCAGTGCTTACTGCCAAGCCTGCACCTGAGTTTGATACCTAGAACCCACATGGTAAAAGGGAAACAACTGATTTCCGCAAGTTGTACTATGACTTTCACATATATTCTGTGTCACGTGTGTACATACACATACAATAAATGTTAAAGAAAAGGCACATATCTATAATCTCAGCACTTGGGAAGCTGAAACAGGAAGATCAATAGTTCAAGGCCAACCTGAGATATATATATATATAGATATATTCATATCTATATATATATATATATGAATGAATGATACAGTCTTAGAAAAGAAAGAAAAAGAAAACCCACCTCTGACTAGTTTAAAAATCAATGAAGGGTGGGCTGATAAGCAAGTACCTTGCCACTAAGCTTTACTGCATCCTCTTTGAAATTATTTTAAAATAATTTTTGGTAATTAGAATTGAATACAGCTCTTTGTGAATGATAAGTATATGCTCTTGTCACTGGGCTCTTGTCACACTTAAACTAAATCAATTTTAATAAACAAAAATGTAAAAGATATTACAAAAGTAATTATTCTCAGTATTCTGTATTACTAGTTCTTGGGAAATATTTCATTAATAGAGAAAAAAATTCATTCTGAGTTTTACATAATTCTCATTTTAAGCACTGTAAAGAACATAAACACACCTGAAATTTGCTGAAAATGAAAAATGATGAAATAAATCACTTATTTTTCTATATATGATACAGATATTCCACAATTCTAAAAAGGTTTTTTTTCCAAAATATGTCATATTTTAAAAATGTGGCCCAGCCAAACACTACATGTACTGAAATTTAAACCCTTTGCTAAAATTTCCACTCTCTTACTTTTTCTACACCTGACAGTAACTAGGTTCCTTGATGTCTAATGGTTAGTACTGAAAGAACTAAATTAATGACTAAAAATTCCATAATCTTATATTCTTCCTATCCTTATCCTCATACCAAAACTGTTGAATGGCTCAATAGTATCAAGAGTTATGTCATACATATGAAATATTACAGATGTTTTCTCTAGAAGATTTTCTAGAAGCATAAGAAAGCTTTTTAGGTATTTTAAATTTGAAAATTACTATAACATTTGCTCAAAAATGAGACCTTTTAGCACACTTGGGCAGTTTGTATACAAGTGACATGGTAATGAGTTCATCTTCAATCACATATCCTCTACAGTAACTCCCTGACTATATGCTTAGAAAAAAAGGCCTAAGTGGTTTTCAAAAGGATACTTCGAATCACCTCAAGTGAATAACTTACTAGTAAGACTGTGTTATTTCAAGAACTGTTTTTCCTTACCTAGTGGAGGTTGAAGTAAATCTCCTTCCTGTTCACATGTCCCAACAGGCTGTATGTCTGATGAATCAACAAGTCTCCAAAAATCATTCTTATTGTCACTACCATCCAGTCGTAAACGTAATCTGGCCCCAGTAGTTGCAATAACAGAAGCAACACACACTGAACCAATATTGCGAGGGTCACGGGCTTCCAATTTCATACCAACTTGGAATTCATTAGTTGGTGGAGTCTGAGACTGTATATAAATAACATTTTGTTAAAATTCATGAACTATAAGAAAAACAGATGGCAAATATTGTTACCAGAATATTTAATAGGCATGTATTAGGTAAAGTCACAGCAGGTGAATGAGGTCAGTGTTACAAGGCTCAAGACAAAGCTTCCCTTTTGATTGACGTGCAGCATAAAAATGCTGGCTATCATTAGTCTCACTTATCTGACATCCAGAAAACCCAAATATAGCCTATAAAATACACCCCGAAAAATTAAAAAATAAGAATTCCATTAAGGTATTCCCCTTTAAATGAGCAAAATAAAAGTCCTATTAAAGTCTATGATAAAGTTAAACTCTTCAGCATACTTCAAACACCCCTACACACCTGTAGCCTTGATTCCCATATGTGCCACTATCTACCTTGCATTCCACTACTTTGTGCCATCTCTTGATACTTAAATTATTTTGAATGTTTTCTTTCTTCTCATTCTAACATTCTTAAATAGCATCTATTCCATGAGCCCTCTCACTACAGGGTTATCACATTTTTTATATTAGCTACTTCTGTCTTTCCCTCTAGATGGGCAATTTTAAGGGCTAACTAAATCATATCTATCAAAATTACTGCAAATAGATAATTTGGTTTTGAGTGGCACAAATATAATCCTACTTTCTCCTAATACTACCAGAACCCTTAAACCATACAGACACCATTCCCCAAGATACTTTTGTACATTACCATATAAAATCTCAACAGAATTTTGGCATACCTGTCTGAAGTATTCTGAAGGAGCACTTACAGAACCAGTCTCTTTCAAATACTTGTCCCAGTCAAAATAATCTGGAAAAAACAAAAAAGTTGGGTTTGGCGTATACAGTAAGATTTTATTCTGAAAGAATTAAGTTTTAATCCATATGTAAAACAAGGAGGATATGGGAGAGTTTTGAAGGGAACAAAGGGAAGGGTTAAGTATTAAAATTACATTATAATCTCAAAAATTAAAAAAAAGGGAAACAATACTTTCTACAAATCAGGTTCAAACTTCTCAATTTACATTCAATTATGCACAGAAATAGAAGCAAGTTCCTGATAATAATGGTCCTAATGGAAATTATAACCCTTATCATTTTAATGAATTGTAAACTAAAGCAAAGTGATTTTGAAGGATGGGCTGCATGTATAAAGCTAAAGTAGAGGCCCAAGGCTCAATACTTTACAGTACAAAAAAGTGTAGACACTAGAAACAAGTAGAAACATTTTACAGACTAGAAAAATCTATGCATATGAGTCAAATATACATTTGCTTCAAAATTTTGTTGTGAAAGCACTATTTTCAATGGGGAGCTAAAGGTGTTTAATATGTATTCTAACAGAATTTTTAACACTGTGATGTTTTCTAAAAAGAAAATTCTGAGAACCAGAATAGTTCCTAATGGGTTATTAAATTTCTATCCACAGTGTCAAAAACATGGTTTAAGGAACAGCAGTAAACAAGTGTAGAGTGAAGTCACTAAAATAGATTTTAGTGCTGTACATCTTCTATAGATTCTTCCTGTGCTCTTTCCTGTAGTCTTCATGACATAGCACAGTGGTATCAGGAAGCAGTATACTCTGCCTGACTTGAATACTTTTGATATGCTAACCAGACTGTTACAACACTTGACAAACTGATTAAAAATAATAAAATATTATATATTCATATATAAAGTTTAATTTTTAGCAAACAGAATTGTTTATATTCTTGTTAAACACTATTTAAAAAATTGACTTCTCTTCCCTGAGTGAATCTGCATTACCAGTTTCTGATATGCAGTGGTACTTCTTTATCCTCTGTTTCCCTTATGTGTGATTTTAATTATTTTGATTCAATTTCAGTCCAAAATATTAAAGAGAAAATTCCAGAGATAATTCGTAAGTTTTAAATTGTACAGTTGTGAGTAGTATGCTGAAATCTCACAGTCACACTCTATCCCACTCAAGAGACTTAAGCCATGAACACAACAGCCTGTGAATCACATAAGTAACAAACTTGTCATCAAACTGCCTGCTAAGGTAACAAAATATTGATGTACAAAAATATTGATGCTGGCAATTCAGATATGCCAGGGAGAAACCATAAAGGATTACTTTTTCGTTAAATGGAAAGGCAAAAGCAAACAACAATGAAAGAAAAACTACATCGAGGTTCCTGATATTTATGCTAATAGCTGCCAATTTCTCAAATCAAAAATTATCATACATTTGTATTAAAGCATACATTACTCTCTATTTTCAAACATCTACCAGAGTACAATCTTAGAATATAGCTCCAACAAAGGAAGGACTATTAAATCTTTCAAAGGATAGCACAGATACCTGCACACAGTGATTGTTTATCAATCAATTTTCTAGAAAATAAAATTAGGTATTTACTATCTACCAGCCCACTTAAGATTAGTGAAAACAGGAATTGTATCTGTCTCGTTTGGGGCATAATATGTGTCAAGCATAATCCTAAGTATAACAGATGCATCAGCCAAAATATAAAAAATAAAAAAATAAACACTACATTTAACAGTCACTCACTGATTACTAAAGTAAAATGCTAGGGTCTACATCCTGAAAATATATTCAAATAACTGCCTAGTTGATTAGGTACTTTCATTTCTAAATAAAATAGTCTGATAATTTTAAGTGACACATTTCTATTAAAAACTGAACAAATTTGCACTTAAACATACACTTGTAATTTCTTGCAATCATTATCAATTCACCTTTAAATAAAATTAAAATGTCATAGTAAATTTTTGACCTTTTCTATGACTAAGATTTGATGGTATTGGAAGTTAGTATAACATACTATACCAAAAGCAACATGAGTTCATTATAACAATGAAGGAGGAAGAAAAATGATGTACTAAATTACTTAAAAACCTACTGCTTTGTACAGAAGATGTACTTGAATGAGTCGTTTTTTCTTGATTGTCCTTCTTGACATCCATTGAGTCTATCCAAAAGGGAAAAAAATAATATTGGAATAGTCTGAACAAGCACTTCATAAATTTTAAATTAATTTAATTTTTAAATGGGAACTTTTTTAAATTTTGTGATAATCTTCATTTTCTCTGTGTCCCAACAATTTCTGATGTATACTACACTTTATAACTTACTTGTGCATATTGTTAACTGAATTTTTCACTACTAAATCGAGAGCTTCATAAAAGAAGGTATTTAGTTCTGTCTGTCTTGCTAAGTAATATATGCTTACAAAACAGTCCAGGACCTGAGATATATATAAAATGCTCTCCAACATTTGTTAAATGAATGTGCCAATAATCTAAATGAACTACTGATGACTTCTTAAACTGCTTAAAATGATTTCAAGAGTTTAAAACATCACATGCAAGCTAGAATAGAATACTCTGGTTTTCTGCTATGCTAATTTAAATAATTCCACAAGTACTCAAAACTCTTGAGATGTCACCAAATCTAAGATATATCATGTCACTCAAACAAATCAGAGTATATATGAAAGAGATAAATATAAAATGTAATGCTAAAAATTATGCTAAGTCTTTATTTTTTAATTTTTATTTAATTTGAAAACAATCTTATTTTACATACTAATCCCAGTTCCCTCTCTCCCCCCTTCCTCCCACTCCCCCAGCCACTCCTCAGGGAGGGTGAGACCTCCCATAGGGGATCATCAAAATCTGTCACATCATTTGGTGCAGGACCTAGGCCCTCCCCAGTGTATCTAGACTGAGAAAGGATCCCTTCATAGGAAATGAGCTCTGAAAGCCCATTTGTGTAACAGGGATAAAATCTGGGTTCTGTTGCCAGAAGTCACATAGACTGTCCAAGTCCCCCAAATAACACATTCAGTGGGCCTGGTTCGGTCTTATGCTGGTTGCCCAGCTGTCAGTCTGGGGTTCTTGAGCTCCCCCTTGCTCAGGTCAGCTATTTCTGTGGGTTTCCCCAGCATGGTCTTGACCCCTCTACCCATCCCTGCTCCCTCTCTACAACTGGATTCTAGGAGTTCAGTTCAGTGTTTAGCTGTGGATGTCTGCTTCTGCTTCCATCAGCTACTGGATGAAGGCTCTATGATGGCATTAAAGGCAGTCATCAATAGGAAAAGAGCATTTAAGAAAGCCTCTCCACTATTGCTTAGATTCTTAGTTGGCGTCACCCTTGTGGATCCCTGGAGATTTTTCTAGTGCCAGATTTCTCCATTAAGTCCATAATGGCTCCCTGTACTAAGATATCTCTTTCCTTGCTATCTTCCTCTCTTCTTCCTTAAACATGACCTTCCTGATCCCTCATGTTCTCCTCCCCTCACCTTCTTTTTCTCCTGCCTCCCTCCCCCTCCCCCATTTTCCTAAGATCTTAATATCATTGAATAATCAACAATATCATTGTTTTTCAAACTGCCTTCATTATCTTAAGTATGAATGCTTGAATCTCAGGACTCAGAGTTCCCATACACTAATACTTGATATGTCTTTCAGATTTTGATTAAGAAATCTTCAATATATATGCATACTTTAGAGAAATACACAGCTATCCTCTGTTAAAATTGTCTGAAGGAATCACACACTCATAAAATTGAATAAATGGTTCTATAGTAAGGACCTTCTAACAAAAAAATATGATGGCATTGGTCATGTTTCAGGGAAATCAGTAATCTATTTATAAATACTACACCAAGGTCAACAAACTAATAAACTAAACAAAATTAAAAGACAGCATTCAGAAGTCAACATGAAATCAGAAGAAAAGCAGTAAGATATGCAACCCTTGAACAAGAAACAAGGAGGCAAATGTGTAAACAATGTGTTATAGCAAATAAAGAACAACAAAGTACAGGTAGATATGGCATATTAATGAGTCATTAAGAAGCAGACTTCTGCCTACAGAAAGACAAAATATAAGAATTAATCATCCACTTACATTAGAGTTCAGTATATATTAAGATATTTGTTACAAACAACTAAAAACAATCTTTAGATAAGCAAATCTTACCTTCATTCACTGTTTGTCCCATGGTACCCTCTTCTGCTTTATTTTCCTAAAAAGAAAAACAATTAATGCCTTACTTTAAATACCATAAATTTTTCAGAGGTAATAGTACCAAAATGAGTTTCAGAGTCAGATCACCTCAATAAAATAAGGTAACTGTTAGCTAGAAAAAAAAAAGAGTGTATGAGTAGTAAGTGCTAATGGAACATTTGATGCCCCTTTAGGTTATAAAAAATGAAAGGGTAAATCAGAGCAGGTTGGCAGTCATTGAATTTCAATTTAAGGCCTATACCAGAGTCCACGTAATATTGGTGAGAAGTAGAAAAACCACAAATCAAATATTCTAAAAAGAAGTAGGAAAACATGTGCGACCAGGAAGATTGAGTCTAGTTAGGAATAGAAGACGGGGGGGGGGGTGGGAGGAGAGAGAGAGAGAGAGAACATAAAAGAGGGAGCCAATATTGGTTTGAAGATAAAATTGAACACAAAGAAAGGTCTAGAGAACTACAATACTGCCGCCAACTAACAATTTGAGCTTCCGTGGAAAGGCTACCATAAGTGCCCTTCCCGGAGAGTGAGATCAACAACTAACTTCTCCATGGAGCCCTCAACTAATGCCTGCTGGAAACAGGAGCAAACATCCATACATAAACACTGAGTCGAAGTAGAACTCAGATGCAGAGGGAGAGGACAAGACCAGGCTGCAGAAACACATAGAGACAGCTTACCTGAACAAGGAGGAGCTAACAGGCCACCAGACTGATACCTGGGAAGCCAGCATGGGACTGACTCAGGCCCCCCTGAATATGGGTCTCAGCCAGAAGGACTGAGCAGTCTAAGGGACCTCAGACAGTGGAGCCAGGATGTATCCCTGGTGCACAAAAGGACCTTGCGAACACATCCCCCATGGAGGGATAACTGCCTTAACCTAGAGACAGGAGAGAAGCCCTAGTCCCTACTTCACATGACCTGTCAGATCTACATGACCCCACCTGGATGGCATTCCCCTACATATGGAATCGGGGTGAGGGGATGGGAGGAGAGGGTGGTTAGGGTGCAGGTGAGAGGGCAGAGAGGGTAAAAGGGAGGGACAGAGGGACGGAGGGAGGGAGAGGGAACTGGGATCGACATGTAAAATAATAAATTAAATAAAAAAAAAATGCTTTGACTCCAAAATTTAAGTTCAAGGACAAGTTACTTGGGAAAAGGATTTCTACTTTTGTTTCCACAGAAAATGAAAAGCTGTGGATTCCTTCCAGACTAATGTGGTTTGATCAAGCCAGAAACAGAGTACCAGGTGATCCTACATTCAAAACAGCTGGACAAAGCAGCCTTGCAGACTACAGCCAGGATTTCCGCATCTTCTTCGAATCCCCCATAACAGTGCCCCTTACCAGCAGGAAGTAGTTTGGAAAGAACGACGCCCAAATTCCCAAATAGTGTCTATAAATGTTTGTTTTCATTTAAATGGACTTGGTTATATAAAATAAATAAATAAATTTTAAAAATATCAAACTAAAAAAAAATTAAAGAAATACTTGATAAGAGCCGAGTATGTATACAGGCTTATAATCGCAGCACTCAGGAAGCTGAAGTAGGAGGATCTTAAAGTCATCCTGGATTACATAGTCTCAAAATTCAAGTCAATTAATTTTAGGGGCAAATTCTTTGTTAGGAGACCTGCATAGATTTAAACCACTATTAATTGGTTTGATTTTTTCCTGCATGTCCTCAACATGTCCTGTACTCTAAAACAAATATATTTATTGGACTGTCCTTCTACCAGAAGAGCTCAATTCAAGCCAAAACTGAAATATTAATAAAACATAGAATAAACATTATAAAAATCATGTGTATAGAAAATCTCAATACAGCATGCCTATGCTATATGCCTATTGTTAAGATGTGATGGTGTATAGACTGAATGCAATTTGGTAATTAAGAGAATATACTTACGAAATTGCTCAGAAAGACATCTGTATTTCTAACTCAAGACATAATTATATTTTAAGCCTTAATTCCCTCATCTTTGCTTCTTCTCATAGTTTCCTCTCACCAATACCAATACTTTTCTCAATACTTAGCTGTACATCTGTTCTTTCACTCAGTGGCCAACAAAATAGACTACACTCATAATTTCCCATCCCCTTGACACTCACTGGTTTATACTTTCATTTATTTCAACCTGCTGTAGTAACACAGCTATTCAACATGTTTTGCCATTGGTGTACTTTTCTACCATAATAATACATAATGTCAGATAGAGTCTGGACTACTTTCCTCCCAAATCACAGAAATGTTTCAACTGGCTATGCAATTAAGAAAAAACATCCAAAGCTTTCTATGGGTGATCACTAAGATCCTCCACAATTTCAAAACCACCAGACACATATCACTGAAACATACACTATACACTAACCCAAAAAGATTGTTGCTTCAATTACTACTCTTTTTTTCTGCTTCTTGAAATACTACCATTACTTTGAGACCATCAATAAATACAACCTATTTCCTGAAAGTTTTTCTGTTTCTTTATTTAATACAAGTATCTAGCTCCAGATTTGGTTCACTCATTTACTTAACAAATACTGATATAATTCTTATGATGTGCCTGGTAATGTGGGTAGAGGATACACACTCTAGAGTTAGCAGTAGAGAACATGCCTATAATCCCAGCATTTAGGAGGCTCAAACAGGAGGATTGTGAATTTGAAGCCAGATTTGATATCCAGCAAGAACTGTGACTGAAGGGAGAAAAGTACAGAGGAAGATACACAATTTACTACATAAAACCTGGGAATTTTGTACTAGAAAGATAGGTGAGTCAGTGGCTAAGAGCTCTTACAGTGGACTGAAGTTCAGTTCCCAGAAAGAATGTTAAGAAAGCTCACAGATGCTGTAACTAGTTACTGGGGATTGGAAACCATCTTCTGAACTCCAAGAGCATAAGACAGACAAGAGCACAAGCACAAAACATGATAATA